CATTATTTGTGAGACTCTTCTTTTTTGCTCTGCTTCTTAAGTTGATCTGTCTTGATTTCCTGACTTTGTGGTGTGAACTCCTATGGTAGGAGACCGCTGTTTTTACTTTCTGGATCTCCCTCTGATGATGTCAGATGTTGACCTGGTCTGACCTTACACAGTCTGTTCAAGACTTCCAGTAGTCTACTCTCTGTGGCTATCTCCTTCAGCTGTTAATCTAATCACTCTGCACTCAGCAGGCCGTCTTAGACAGCTCAGGGCAGAGCAGAGTCCCTCCTGGGGGCGGGGCTATTGGACCCGTATGGGGGAGGGGTCAGCTGGGATCCCAACAGCTACTCTATCTGTTCTCTCCCCAAAGCCTCCGTCCCCAGTCTCTCCTCAAGTGTCTCCAGACCTCTCTGCGCCCCCTTTAGCCAGAGATCCACTATCTGTGGCTGCCACTCTGCACTCAGCAGGCAGCTTAGACAGCACAGGGTGGGGTGGAAGCCCACCTGGGGGTGGGGATATTGGGTCCTCTGACACTGCTGCCACTCAGGGGGAGTGGTCTCTGGCTGAGCAAGATGGCTGCTGCCACATGGGGGATGAGTCAGCACTGGGATCCCACTGGCTACTCTCTCAGTTCTCTCCCCAAAGCCTTCTTCCCCAGTCTCTACTCAGGCATCTCTAGCCCACTCTGCCCCCGCCTCTACCAGAGACAAGGGTAAGTAGCTGCAAATAAAAATTTATGCGTTGGCTCTTTAAACAGTTCTTTGTGTCTCCAGCTGCCTGTCTCTGGCAGAGAGCAACCCTGCTGCTTTTCACAGCTGGTTGTTTTCTGTATACTTTTTGGGCTCTGGTGCTGTAGGCTAGAGATCCCCACTTTTGGTTTAGACCCCGCTCTTCTCAGGAGGATCCAACTGGCCGTTTCAATATTCTTCTGGTGCTGCCCGTGGGCACCCCTCCCACCTTCTTGAGTCTCTACCGCACTCCTTACCAGTTAGATTGTGCTAAAGCTGATTCTTCTGTCTCCCAGATTACAAGGCTCCTCTCTCACTATTGTTCAATTGTTTGTTCCAGGTGATTTCTCCACAATTTAGTTGTAATTCCAGGTTGGTCCTGGGAGGAGGTCAGTGTGACTTCCACTCACTCCTCCATCTTATTTCTCCTCCCATAATATCTTCAAGCTTCATCCATGTTGTGGCATGTAACAGAATTTCCTTCTTTTTAAGGCTGAAAACTATGTGTATGTATATATCACATTTGGTTTATCCATTCATTTGTTGATGGACACTTGGGTTGTTTCCACCTTTTGGCTAATGTGAATAATGGTATGAACATGTCCCTTCTTTCAGTTGTTTTGGAATTGAAATTCCGGAAGTGGAATTGCTGGATTATTGGTAATTCCATGGTTAAATTTTTGAGGAACTACCATATCATTTTCACAGCAGCTGTACCGTTTCACATTCCCACCAACAATGCACAGGGTCTAATATCTCCACATCCTCATCAATGCTTCTTTTCTAATTACTTTATACAAGAACCATCCAAATGGATGTGAAGTGGTGTCTCACTGTAGTTTCGATTTGCATTTCCCTAATGATTAATAATGCTGAGCTTCTTTTCATGTGTTTATTGGTCCACTATGAAATTTGACCTAAGCAACTGGAAGAAGTAAGTTGCCATGCAGTGAGATGGGGAATATTGTAGAAAGAGCAGGTTTTGGAAAAAAAAAAATCCAGAATAAAATTTGAGATGCATGTTAGATATCCAAGTGGGGATTTTGGTGAAAAATAGGAGTTTGATGTTCAGGTGACAGGTCTAGATTGCACATGTAAATTTGGGAGTCATTAGCAAATAAGGCATGAATAAAATCATCAGCTGGGATAAGACCCCAGGGGAATGTTTGTAGAAAAGAGAAGCAGTCTAAAGCCTAAGCTCTGGGCACTCCTATTTGGAGGAATGGAGATGAGGAGGAACTAGCCCAAGCAATGAGAAGGAATGGATAGTGATCAATAGGAGGGTATTGTATCCTGGGAACCAAGAGAAGATGATAGTTCAAGGAGAAGAAAGTGATTTCTTATGTCAGATGCTGCTGAAAAGGTAAACAGATGAAGAGTGAGAATTGGCTATTGTTTTAGCAGCATGGAGGCGATTGGGGAGACAGGGAGGGGCTGTTTTGGTGGATTCGTTAGGTTGGCTTGAAAGACTGATTGGCAAGGGTTCAGGAGAGAAGGGGAGGTGAGGAATTAGTGACAATGGCTATAAACAAAGTACTTGAGGAGTTTGCTATAAAGGGGTGCAGAAAAGTGGGGGTCATGGGATCAAAAGACGGATTCTTGTTAATGCTAATGTTACAGGACATCTATAAGTTGATGGGAATGATCTGTTAATGATGATGCAGGAAGCATGGGGGAGAATTCCTGAGCACTCTGCTTTTCTACCCTCTGCCTTTCTTTGTGCCCCTGCAGACTTACAGCAAAGCAACTCAAATACCTCCAAAGTTATTAATTGGCTTCCTTGACTCTCTCTCTGTTTCTGTATTAGTCAGGCTTTCCTGCAGTAATGATGTGTAACAAACAGCACGACAACAGTGGTGCTTAGGTTGGCTTGGCTGAGCCAGGCTAACCCTGAGCATTGGCTTGGGGTCCAACCTATTCCACATGGCTGTCAATCTGGCACCCGTGGCTCCCCTGCATGTATTCTTGTAGAGGCAGACGGTAAAAAGCACAAGAAGGGAAGCCAAAACACACAAACATACTAAAAGCCTCCATTTGCAACAGTCCACGCATTCCATTGATCACAGCAAGTCACACAGCCAAACCCAAGAGGGAATAAAAGTGAGTGCTGTCCACAGACTGGAAGGGTCGTGGCAAGGAAGGGGAAAGGACAGGGGAAGAAACATGGAAATCACGCAATCTACAACCTTCTGCTAGTCTATAGGCCTCTCAAACCAAATGATCTTACTTGTTTCATTTTTCTAGTGTCTAGCACCATGCCTAGCATGTAGTAAATGCTGCCAAAATAGTGAGTGAAAAAATATTACCAGCTTTTTTTTTAAACAAGCTTATCATTCTATTTCTTTTTATTTTGGGGTCCAGAAGGATTTGAGTTTCAATTCCAGCATCCTCACTTTTTAGCATTATTTTTAATACTATTTTATTGTTGATTTTTACCATTATTTTGGCAATAATATCAATAATAGTAAAAAAATAACAATAGACAACATTTCTTCAGTGTTTACTTTGTGCTAGGAATGCTGCTAAGAGTTTTAGGTTTATGATATCATTTTAATCTCCAAATAAATTTATGAGGTAGGCATTGGTCTCCCCATGCCATGGATGAGGTGACTGAGAATCAGAGAGGTTCGGTAACTTTCTCAAGGTCACACAGCTAGAAAGAGGCAGAGCTCCAATGTGAATTCAGGTCCAGCGGGCTTTAAAGCCTCTTTTTAAGCAGCCTGCTATGTCACCCCTAAGTGTTCAGTTAACCCCACCCAATGTCTATTTTGACAGTTTCCTCATTTGTAAAATAGGTATAAGCCTGGGTCCACTCTGTAGAATTGTTAGAAGATTGATTGGCAAATAAGATGTATCTTATCTGCCACTGTTATTCTTTGGGTACTCCACAAATATTATTTGGAAGTTCTTTTCCATTTCACTCCTGACCCCTGCTGCCAGACTTGATGGACAGCTTCCTCAGCACCTGATGCTCAGAAGCCATTAAACACAGCTTGGTTAAGCCTGTAGTACTCAGCCCCTAAGACCCTAACAGGCCGTCAGCTGAATTTTCTCTGAAATCAAACCAGCGGATCTCTCTAACCCTCGGGAAGACTTACTGATTTGCTCAGTGTCACTCTTGGCTGCTGAATTATCCGTGTCCCTTGACGGATTCTGCCGTCGGCCTCCTCCTGAGAAGGTGGATTTGTCGATGAGGCCAGGGACGCTGCCTTGATGTTTCAGTTTAGTAGGTGGTGAGTGAGAGAAAGCAAACAGGACAAGGGTTGCCAGGTGACCTGTGAGACACCAAACCCCGGGAAGGGTGGGTCTGCTCAAAATCTGCTCAAAAATTTCACATGTGGTGCCTCCGAAAACAAGGGATGTTTCCTTTTGAGGGGATAATGTGAGAAGAGGGAAGGAAGAAACACTTAGTGAGTACTTACTATGTAGAGTACTACTATGTAATGAGTACCTAGTATATAAGTACCTACTATATGTGAATACCTACTATGTATGAGTACCTGCTATTTTTAAGTACTTACTATGTAATAAATACCAACTATGCATGAGTACCTACTGTGTATGGGCTCCACCAGGCTCCTGCCTTCCTTCACCCTCTTCTCCACACAGGAACAGTGCATCCCTGCCTTGTTTCTGAAGTTAGAGAGAAGCACAGAGTCTTTCCCCATGGAGTACAACACTAGCTGTGGGTTTTTCATAGATTCCCTCTATGAGGTTGAGGAAGTCCCCTTCCACTTCCAGTTTGGCGAGTGGTTTTTCTCATGAAGGAGCATTGGATTTTGTCAAATGCTTTTCCTGTGTCCCTGGAGACTATCAGGTGGCTTTTCCCTTTGCTTCTATTCTACTGTCCTTTATTCTCATCCTGCAGTGTATGACAGTAACTGATGTTCTGATGTTAAATCCACTTAGCATTCCCACTTGGTCGTGGTGTATAATTGAACAATAGCTGAATTCCATTTTCTAGTGTTTTGGAACAAATTGGAGCTTTAAGCCCCTGGCTGGGTTCCCTTGGCACAGCAGAGGTGCCCTAGGGAACGCTGCCACAGACATCCTCCGGGGGCCTTTATGTGGAATCACCCCCTTCCTTGCTTCCACACCATCCCACTTCCCTGTTCCCTCACTGGTTTCTCCTGGGGATAATCTCTAATAAATCACTTGCACACAAACCCTCTTCTCAGGTGTTCCTTGTGGGGATCCACCAACATCACCAGCCTGAGGAGCCCTCAGGTCACATGGTCCTGCCCAAACCTGCACGCCTCACACTCACTGTGGCTTCTCCTGCAGGTGATCTATGCCCTGAACACCCGCCAGGACGAGGCTGAGGCCAGCATGGAGGCGCTGCGGGAGGCCCACCAGGAGGAGCTCTGGAACGCGGTGGCCGAGACCAAGGCCAGGCTTCTGCAGGAACAGGGACAGGGCCGCGCGGAGGAGGAGGAGGCCCTGCTCCAGCGTGTTCAGGCCCTGGAGAGCGCCCTGGAGCTGCAGAAGAGGCTGACGCAGGAGGCGCTGGCCCAGTCGGCCACATGCCGGCTGGAGACCAAGGAGAGGGAGCTGAGGGTGGAGGCGGAGCACGCCGAGCGTGTCCTCACCCTCTCCAAGGAGATGCTAGAGCTCAAGGCTGACTACGAGAAGAGGCTCCGGCACCTGATGAGCCACGAGGCACCCCAGTGGGGCCGGCTGTCCCAGGAGAGCCCTGACCCAAAGGCGGAGCCAAGCCCCGGGCCCGAGATGCGGGAGGTCCTCCTGGAGGTGGAGCGGCTGCGAGTGGAGAACCAGCAGCTGAGCAAGGACTACGCCCGGAAGGCCGAGGAGCTGCAGGCCAGCTACGAGCGGGAGAACGAGGCCATCCGGCAGGCCATGCAGCAGTCGGTGAGCGAGGCCCTGTGGCAGTGGCAGGAGAAGGAGACTGACCTCCGCAAGAACTTCCAGGTCCAGGAGTCGGCCCTGCAGGCCCAGGTCCGGAAGCTGGAAGGGGATCTGGAGCACAGAGGCCGCAAGATAAGTGACCTGAAGAAGTATGCCCAGAAGCTGAAGGAAAGGATTCAGGTGAAGTAGGATCCTTCTCTACCTCTTCCGTGGGATAAGCATGACACCTAATTTTGAACACCATGTGTCAGGCACTGTGAAAAGCACTTGACTTCTACCGAAGTGAGCTTTTCATCTCCATTGAGTTAAATCTCACTTATTCAGCACATACTCACCAAACGTCTACCATGTGCCAGGCCAGGGCTAGGGGCAGGAGCCACACGATGAGCTGTTCTTGGTCCCTGACCTCAGAGGGCTTAGACTTCCAGTTTACAGATGAGAAGACAAGCCCAAAATTGAGAGGCTCAAGGAGTGGCTAGCCGAACACACAGCCGGTGAGTTTCTGAACTTAGGACAGCCTCATTCTGAAGACCCTGCTATTCCTTAACAACTTGCTTATCCTGAAATCCTTGAGGCTTTGTGTTCGTGGAGAGCCAAACTTTTTGGAGTCAGTTATGTGAGCCCCATGGATTTACAGAGCCCCATCCCTAAAAGTGGCAGTGGATAATGTTCCTAAGACTCCTTGAGCATTTTTTTCCTGTCCCATATACATTATCTCATTTGATCCTCACCACAGAAGTGTTAAATAACTTCCCCAAGCTCACACAGCCAATCAGAGGATTGGTAGGGAATTTGATGAACCCGGAGCCACTCAATTCTAGAGACTAAGGGCTTATGCTGTGCACTTCCCCGCCTTTCAGATCTGATGTTAGTTCTATGAACAAAGGATGTCTCCACACAGAACTGTAACCGGAGACATGAGCCCCTGTCTGTCTGTGTAGGACCTGGATGTGCAGCTCAAGGAGGCTCGACAGGAGAATTCGGAGTTGAAAAACACTGCAAAAAAACTTGGGGAGAAGCTGGCTGTGGCCAAGGATAGACTGATGCTGCAGGAGAGTCACGTGACACAGAAAACCGGTGAGATGCCCTAGAACGATTTCCTTACACATGGAAGGTTAGCTGCCAGGTTGGAGACAGTTAGGGGAGCAGAGCAGAGGGGCAGGGCTGTTTGGTCTGACCCCCTGGTGGGCCAGTCCGGTCCATGGAGGACGCCATGAGCCAACACCGAGTGCTGCTCCAGGCCAGATATCTAGACTGCATGAGGGATTGCTCCCTGGTATGTCCCCATCAGGCCCCCATAGTGCCCGAAGCTCCCAGCATTGGCCTCTGTCCCTCACTTAGACAACACTTCATACTTCGTAAATATTTAATTTATTGAGACATCATTGGTTAGTAGCATATAAATTTCAGTTGTACAACTTGATTAATGCATGTGTATACTCACTCTATTGTGTGCTCACCCCCTGAAGTCTAGTTTTCTTCTGTCACCGTGTATTTGACGCCTTTACCCTCTTTGTCCTCTCCCGACCCCCCTTCCCCTCTGATAACCACCGTACACTTTATACTTTAACATTATTGCACACAGTGCTGTTATAGGATCTTCCCAGTAACTTTGTGAGACAGGTAGTGTCAGTATCACAGGTTGCAGACGAAGAAATGAGCCTAAGAAAGGGTAAATGGCTGGGTCAAGGGCAACCAAGCTGTTTGCTGATGGAGCTGCTGTTTATGCCTAAGATTATCTGCTTCAAAGTGCCTCCCACCAGGTTCCCTCATCAGAAAGTTCTTGAATACCTACAGTGTGACCAGCTCGACACTGGTAGAGATAACAAAGGCACACAGCCTGGGCTCTAGCTCCAGGAAGAGTCTAGCACAGATCCATTACAGCCCACAGCATGCGTTGGTCTGATGGACGGGGCCCAGGCAGCAGGAGGGCGAAGTGCTGGGGAGAGAAGGAGTCACCAAGGGCTGGAAAGGTGCAGAGGAGCAGAGGTTCGCATTGGAACCAGAAGCCTGTGGAGGGTTCAGAGCAGTGGCCTCAAAAGTAGGAAAGAAGTACCTCAGGGAACATGGGGGAAGAAAGGGAACAATTTTAGTTATATTTACTTTTTGTCTTCTCTTTGAAATTCTATTCAGTTTAAATCCTTTGAATGTATATATCTCCAGGAACATGCTCAATTTTTTTTAATCTATGGAAAACACAATCAGAAAATTAAAGGTGAGTAGTTTAGGAAGGAGAGCGGGACAGCTCTTTGAATTCAGGGTGCTGCTTGAGCAAAGATGATAATCACAACCTCGACTATGCTTGAGGCCAGGGAGGCCACAGACCAGAATTACATAGGGGAGTGGTGGGCACAAGTGTTCAATAGCAGAATGGGGACCTGGTTGCCAAAGACCTCAGACTGAGGCCAAGGCCAAGGGCGTTCCAAACAATGTTGTGACTTTTGCTTATAGATGACATGAAGACAGAGCGAATTGCAGAGAATGAAGTCTTAGGGAAGGCGAATGACTTGGAATCCCGCAGTCCCCGTCCTCAGCAGGATCAGAAGTTTCCCAAGGAATGTCTGTGTACGAAAGGAGGCACAGATACACAGGTAGTGTGTGACCCGGCCCTGGGGGTGGAGAAGGCGTAGGAGGCTTTGTTAGAAGGAGGTTCAGATAGAGCTCAGTCCCCAGCCACAACGGATTCACCTGGAAGCAGCAGGTGCCGTGGCTCCAGGGGCATGTGTGCGGGTCTGAATTCCAGCCAGCTTCCTGCCAACCTCATGCCATTTGAAACGAGGAGATGGAGAATGTGGCAGGATTCTCCCAACTCCTTATCTTTGACTCCTGGGAAACTGGAAACTTGCTTAGGATTCCTGCTGTGTGTTCCCAGTCAAAACAAAGAAAGCACTCTTTAGAAACCACTACAGTATCTGAGCCTGTGACAATAGATGCACTATTGCAAAGAGCCCTTTTCCGATGGTGCATAAAGTCAAGTCTCTTACAAATATCAAATATATAGCCTTATAAACTTTTTATTGTACCTTGTGAAACAGGCTGTAAAATCAATACATAAACATTGTGAAAGTTGCACAAAGGAGAGACAGCGGTTCCCTGCTCTTTTTATAGACCAAGAGAGAGACGCGTGTGGAGACAGAACACATGAAGCAACAATATGAAGAGGACCTTCGCAAAATCAAACGTCAGACAGAAGAGGAGAAAAAGCATCTCAAAGAGCAGCTGGTGAAGCGCTTAGAAGACCTGGTGAAGACGCACACCGCAGAAATCAAGTCAGTCCGCTCTTCGGTGGAGGCCGAGAGGAAGAGGCTGCGGACGGTGAGATCCGCTTCGGCGGACCCTGTTCCATTTCCTTTTCTTCACCTCCCTTCTTTCCCCTTCTATTTCTTCTTTTCTTCCTCAAACATTTACTGAGCCCCTACTTGCCTGGATGAAGGTAGAAAGCTAGTTCTCCTTCCAAAGGGAGTTCAGGGTCTTTTGGAGGAGACACCCTAAGGGGACACCCTAAAACCATGGGCTGGAGTCATTGATAGGGGGCAGACCTGTGTCATCTGAGCGTTTGCTTTAGGGAAATTCAATTCCACTCAGCACAAAGAAATAACACAAAGCAACCGCTCAGGCCTGGCAGACTGCCTGGAGTCAAATCCCAACTCCGCCCTGCTCCAGCCCTGAGTCCATAGCACTATTTAACCTGGGCCCTCAGAGAGAGATTGTGTGCGCCTCAGGCTCCTCAGGTATAAAACAGGATGATAATAGCCCCTCAAGAGTAGCTGCGAGGATTAAATGAGGCGATGTGTGGGAAAAAAACAAAGCATATCCTAGTGCCTGGGGCTTTCTAAGCACTGAGTAGACGCAGGTAATTAGTCAGCCGCCTGGCAACGTGGGGGAAGATTTTCAGCCTCTGGGTAGTGTTCCAGCCTCTCCGCAAAGCAGGGGCTTTCTGCTAAGCAGGAATACAAAGCCTCATCTGTCCCGTTTGCTGGGGAAAGCAAATAACATATGTGAATGTTTTAGGAAAACAGTGAAGTGTAAATATTATTGTGAACATAGCTGGTGCTTGAGTTGTAGTCATCCCCCCCTTATTCACGAGGGGTACATTCCAAGACCCCCCAGTGGATGCCTGAGAGCGTGGATGGTACCAAGGCCTATGTACACTATGTTTTTTCCTGTGTGTACAGACCTATGATAAAGTTTAATTTATAAATTAGACGTAGAAAGGGATTAACAAAAAACTTATAATAAAATAGAGCAATTATAACAATATACTGTAAGAGAAGTTATGCGAATGGCTTTGGGGCCATTACTAAGTAAAATAAGTGTTACCTGAACACAAGCCCTGTGACACCATGACAGTGGATCTCATATCCCAGATGGGTACCAGGTGACCAATGGGCGGGGAGCTTACACAGTGTGGAGACGCTGGACGAAGGGACGATTCCCGTCCCGGCAGAACGGAACGGCATGGCGGGGCTTTCCTTACACTCCTCAGAGTGACGCACGACTTAAAACAGGCATCGTTTATTTCTGACATTTTTCATGTAATGTTTTTGGACTGTGGTTGACTGAAACCACAGAAGGTGAAACTGCAGATAAGGGTGGACACGTCTTCCCGGAAAGCCTACGCGTAACTCAAGAGCCTACACCCTCAGCGTTGAGTAGTCCCTGGAAGATAATCCCATGTCTCTGAGGAATGCAGTGTTGTGGGATGGTTAAGAGCAGCAAGTACTCAATACATGCGTGTTGGGTAAATAAACGAACTCATGAAAGACCCAGGCTAGTCCTGGGTCCAAGCCCTGACTCTCCCACCAGCGGTATGACTGTGGACAGGTCACTTAACCTCTCTGGAACCTGATTTTGAAATAAGGATACATACTTTGAGGGCTTATGACATGGTTTGAATATAACATTATATATAAACTCTTAGCTCAGTGTATGGCACGTAGTAAAAGTTCTAATAAACTGTGGCTGTGATCCGTTACCATGTGCACTGCATGATATCATGTCTGACAATATTATTTAGTACCCAGTATACTTTATACTTATAAAGCACTTTATTCTTATGAACACATTTAATCCTCCCAACAATATTACAATGTGTATTCGTATTCCCATTTTAGAGGTGAGAAAAATGTCCTGTGTCGACTCACACAGACAGTGGGTGGTGGAGGTGGTAGTAAAACCCAACAGCCTGGCTCCACAGCCCCTGTTTCCCATCCCGGTGCTGAGTAGGAAGTAGCTGTATAGAAGGCATGTTTTTCCCCATGAGCTGGGGCTGGTCCCGCAAATCCAATTCTCAGACTCCAGCTGAGCAATCTTTCCATCGTGGGCCACAGTCAGTGGGAGGGCCAGTGGCTGTCCCAGAAATGCAGGTTGCCCTGGTAACCTATCAACCATGCTTGACTCAGTGTAGAAATCCCACTTCAGCTTTCACCAGGGGGCATAAATCCGTTTGGGAAATGAATCACGTAAAAATACATTGTGTTTCCTCCTGGGTTTGGGGGTTGCAGCTGTGAGGTTTGTTTTTTTTTACCTTTTGGTAGTTTGTACAAACTGAGGATATAAATTATATAAATGATATATATAAACCCAAATCTAGGGTTATGGTCTAAAAATAGGCAACACTTTCCCCTCTAGTGTTAAGAGTGCACTCTTTCTTTGAGTCCTTTGCTGTAGGGATATTGTGTATCCTGAATGCTACCTTAGCCTGAAGAAGACACTACAGGGGATGGGCTGGAGTTGACCCAGGAGGCCTGTCTGTCTTCCCTGTCCACGGAACCAGATGCTGTTATCACATAGTCTCGACAGAACAGACTACACATGCTATAATAAGCACTTGCCTACATCGATTCCTAGGGAGAGTGTGGGGAAATTGATTGAGTCCCTCCTGAGCTGCGCTAATACTGCTGCATTCCACATCTCATCTGTATCACTTAGGATTCAGGGTGGCCAACATCATACACCCACCCTGGGCAGGTTAGGCAGAAAAGGAATTTAGTAACGGGTAATAGTGAGTTGTTCCTTGGAAGACCAGGGAACTGGGCAGCTACCCAGCCAGGAATGTTCCGGTCTACTGCGAGGCTAATGAGGCACCCTGCTGCCACCTCTTAGCCCAGACCTGCAGTTTTCATGGCTGACAGCACCAATACCAGGCCCTGGACACAGCCCGGACAACCATGCTGTCTCATATGGTAGCCACAAGACACACGTGGCTATTCACGTTTAAATTAATCACAATTAAATAAAATGTAAAATTCAGTGTCTCGGTGGAACGAGTGCATTTCAAGTGCTCAGTAGGCACATGTTGCTAGAAACTACCAGACTGCCATATTGGCTAGCATGGCACTGAGCAATTTCTCCATCTTAGCTACAGTATTCAGGACATTTCCGTCGTCACAGGTCTCTGTTGGTCAGTGCTGCTCTGGAATGACCTGGAAACTGAAGTTGCCATATCTGTGTGCCTCCCACTTGTACATATCTGTGGCTTCTGATTCAAAACCCAGGATGGGTGTCTCTGAGTGGTGGAACCTCAGTCACATGCCCAGGCCTAGTTGCAAGGGAGTCTGGGAAGGTAGCTCTGGTGTTTTTAGGTTCTGCAGTGGAAGGAAGGCTCTGATGTATCTGGTGGAGGATTTCCCAAACACTTGGAGGAGGATTGGATGCTGGGAAGCCAACTGTCCACTCCATGATTCGATCCTTATCTCAGGCCTGCAGGCTGGGCTTTCCCCATTTCACAGATGAGGAGCCTGGGAGATGAAGTAACTTGAGTGTCACAGAGCTTGGAGATGCGGGAGTCAGCTGTAAATCAGGCCTGCCTGACTCCCAAGCCACTAAGAGTTGTCCTCTGCGTATGTGGTATAAGCAATGCACACTGCCCCGGGCCTCAGGGAGCAGCCTTCAGATCCTCACCTGCCTCTGTCCCCTCACTGTGTATCCACCATTTCCTGAGTGTGTCTGCAGTGGTTTGGGCAATGCAGAGATACAGGAATCATGCTTGCCTTCAAGGACCTTGAACCCTCATAGGAGGAACAAGACATGCCCTCAAACACCAGCCTCAAGCCAGTGTGAAAGAAGCGCTGTGTCTGGGGAAACAGACTCACTGTCAAACCTTAAGGAAGTCACCCCAAACCATCCTAGGCCTCTGCTTTCCACTTTAAATAATTATAAATGTGAATGATTTCCTAAAAAAATTTTTCCAGCTTTTTATTTCTATCAACTCCAAAAATACTCCTGGTTATTTAGAAATATGTTGCTTAATATTGGAACCTTTTCAGATATCTCTTTGCTATTGATTTCTAATTCAGTTCCCTTGTGGTCAAAGAATGGATTCTATAATTTCATGCCTTTTCAATTATTCATCTTGTTTTATGGCCCACATATGGTCTATCTTGATGGATAGTCCTTGCATACTTGAAAAGAATATAGATCTGCTGCTGTTAGGTGGCGTGTTCCATAAATGATGATTAGGTTATGTTGTTTGATGGTGTTGTTCAAGTCTTTTATTTCCTCAGTAATTTTTGCTACTTGTGCTATTAATTATTGAGAACAGAGTACTGAAATCTCAGATTTAAATGGTCAGATTTTATATTTCTCCTTGGCTTTTGCTTTATATAAATTCAGACTTATTTCACTAGATTATATACACTTAGAATTATTATGTCTTTTAATGAATTGGCCCTTTAATCATTTGTGGAAATTCCCATCCTGAAGTCTACTTTGATAAAAATATAGACATTCCGTTGTTTTTATGGTTAGTGTTGCATGGTCTGTTTTCATTCATTTCTTTACTTTTAATCTAACTGTGTCTTTCTAGTCAAAGTGCTTTTATGGTATGCCTAGGTCTTACTATTTAGTTCATTTTGACAATTTCTGACTTTTGGGGATCATTTAGACCATTTACATCGAATGTAATTATCATTGTCTACCATCTTGCCATTTTTTCATTTGCCACTTCTCTTTTGTTTTTACCTCTTTTTTTCTGTTTATTTTTGATTTATTTAATATTTTTGGTATTCCCTTTCTTATCTCCACCAATGACTCATTAACTTTTTTTATTTTAGAAGAATGTGCTAGTGGTTGCTCCAAGACTTATCAATATAACATGCAGCTTTAACTTATCACTGTCTGCCATCAAATACCATTATATTAGTTTACATATACATTTCATTCTATCTTTAATGTTTCCCTGAATCTGAGGATGTAGTTGGCTTTTTGACTTATGGGACACAGAGAATTGTGTCAGTAACAAGCAGTCTCTTTTCTTATCTGATGCTATGAAACTTAAAGCCAGGGGTCTCCCCTGCCCTCCCCCATATGTATCAGATTTCATGGTATGAACTTAACACTTCTTTTGACCTTCTCTTGTATCTCTAATTTGTGTTCCCTTACAGTATTTTGTGACTCCCATAAGCCTCTTTGATTCCCTTTGGGACTAGGGCACCGTGTGTCCTGTCCATGTTTTTTGTGCCTGTGTGGCTAACTCTCCTCCTAATCATCATTTAGGAAGTAGAAGCACAGTTGGAGGAAGTGAAGAAGAAATCAGAAAATGAAATAAAGCAACTACAAGAAGAGAAAGCGGCCCTAAATGTGAGGCTCCAGAATTCTCTGCTGGAGGTAAGTCCCAAGTCGTGCAGTGCTTGGGAGGTATGGCTCTGGGCCCGGGGAGGAGTTTCTGGCTAACTGAGATGCCAGGACTCGCAGGAAGCTGCCCCAGCCATATTATAGTCAGCATCCCTGGGTGAAACACAAGGACTTCAGCATGACCGGAAAGCTGTCACAGGAGGCATCGATTTAGCTGCAAGTAACAGAGAGCCCGGTTTGTAGAGGCTTATCAGAGAGGCACTTCATGTCTCACATGAGAGAAGCAGGCAGAAGGCCACTGGTGTGGACGCTATGGCTGGACGACATCAGGCCTGTGAAGCTGGATTCTCCCAATCTCTCCTTCGCCCGGGCTTCACTATCACTGCTGTGGGCATTAGATATTTTTGTCATCGTGGCCTCTTCCCTTTATCAAAAAAAAAAAAAGAAAATTAAACATTCTATATTATGATTGGATTCATATAAAGACAAAAAGAGCCAGACTATATATTTTTTTCTTCTGATTTTAAAATAAATCAAACACTTTTCATGGCCCCTAAAAGCGCCGTGGGCGCTGGGCACCGCACCTGCCGTGTCGAATGGAGAGGTCGGCTCCAATGCCAAGTGCCTGTTGCTGCTCCGGCTGTCGGGCCCCAGTTTAAACCAGGAAACAGGGAGGAGCAGCGCTGACCAGGCCTGCCCACTTCACCAGGCATCAAAAGGCATTCGCAGAAGCCCAGCTGACTGCGACTCCCATGGCTGACATCTCCCGTGTCGCGCGGCCAGCCTTGGGAAGCCAGGCTGTAGCTGCCAGGCGACCACGGTGGAGGCAGATGAGGGAGAAAAGGGCGGGCGTTGGATGCAGACCAGATGAACAGCAGAGCTTGCCTCCTGGGCTTGCCTGTCCAGACCACCGAAAGGCCAGGTCCAAGTTTAAAAGAGCTGTTGTCCATGTGACTAGGGAGAAGGGGCTGGAACCAGGGTTCACTCCTGAGCCTAATTAGAGGGAAAGGAAACTGTGAAGAGGCTCCCTTGCTCCCCCTGCCCTCCCTCACACCCTCCAGGTGAGCGCTGCACCCCGCCGCCGCTCCACAGCGCCCATGAAATCGGTTCCTCAGCCCAGGCCACACATCACGACCGCCTGGGGGAGCTTTGAGAAATACGGAGCCGTGTGCAGGACAGTAATGATGTTTAGGAATGTATGTGATGGAGTTCCATTCAGAGTCATGCATGAGAATGATACAGCCAACTCTGAACCAGGGGTCATTTCTAGAAGGGGGATAGGCTGACGCGCCAGGAGAAGCACAGGAGTTGCCACTGCATTTGCGATGTGTTGTCTCTACAGCTGAGGGATGAGGACACACTTGCTGTTTTTCTCTAACCTTTATCTGTCTCACAAATTGTCATTTAAAAAATAAAAAAAAAAAAAAAAAGGATGAGTGGACCATGCCTTACACTTGAGGCAGCAGGGGCTCTAGAGGTGAGGCCTGCTATAGCGGTTTCTGTCCATTGCAGCCCAAGGCGGCTGCTCAGCAGAGAAGCCCGTGTCTCCCTCCCTGCCTCTCCCCCTCCCGCTCTGCCTTCCCTGCCGTCCCCCCCCCACCTGTCCTCCCCCCGCCGTGGACCTATACTGTTAGTCTTCACTTGGGATCTGGACTGCCCCACTCTGAGAGCGTAGGGAAGCTTCCCATATGTGTTTGGGACCAGCCCAGTTCCACTTGTCACTCCTGGGCCATCACCTGACTGTTTCTCCAAGTGCCCCTTAGAACCCTTCTCTTTAAAAATAACAGTGGTGACCTTTGTTAAGCACTTTCTCTAGTTAAGATGCTGTCTGAGCAGTTTACATGTGTTAACTCTGAAAATCCTTATAACCACTGTACTATTAGTAGCTCTGGTTTACAAATAAGGAAACCGGGGAACAGAGAAAATAAATCATTTCCTCAGAGTCACACAGGTAACAAGTAGCGGACCTGAGAATCAGCCAGGTCAGGGGGCCCTAAAGCCCCCACCGCTGACCGCTGTGCTAACGCTGCCCTTTGGTGACTGGGCATCACTCAGAGCCTGAGTGTCCATAGACGGCTGAGTCTGACCAGCCGCAGACAAAGCACCTCAGCCCTGCTCTTACCCTCTGTTTCTTCTGCTGCCTTCATGGTGTCATTATCTCTCCACCCGCTTACCAACACCAGAAACGGAAGCGTCACCCTCGACCACATCCCCTCTCCCGCTCTCCCGTCCTCAGCCTGAGTCCCCGCCTGGCCCCACCACCGCATTCAATCAGCTGTCAAGTCCTGTGAGTGTTTCTACGTAAGTGCCTAGGACCTCTCCCCTCTCTTCACAACAGTGCCTTGGTCAAAGGCCTCAGAATGGTTCACTGAAGTGCTTTTTATTTTTTCATCTGCTTGTAAACAATCTCACAGGATGCATTTAAATACTTCATAAACCTTAGCAAGGTGCAGTGTAAGTAGCTTCGTAATCTTCCACCGTTTCTTCCCCAGACGTTCATTATGTAAAGCCGAGGACACATCCTCACGGCCTGGCTGCTCTCCTGCAACAGTCTCTGCAGTCTCTCAAGGGCCCGTCCTGTCTCCGGCCTCCGCATTGGCCCCCGATCGCCTGATCCCTGAACTGGTGTCCTCAAACCCAGATCTGCTCAGGGCCCCGCTCCTCTTCCCAGAAACCTCTCATGCCTATGCTTTTCGCAACTTGGACCCCACCTAACTCACCACCACTGCCCCAGGACTCCGCCCCCTCCGTACTGGGCCCCGCCATGGAGCCTTCCTCAGCCCTCACACGCCTCCCTCCCGCCCTCCGCCAAGGCACCTGCTGTTCTTGCTGTGCGGAATGCCCTGTCCCACCCTTGCCGCTAACTCATGGGCTGCTGTTCACCCTTCAGAGCCCCTGAAGCTGCCCTGGACTCCCCTGGGCAGAGTTTGCTGTTGCAAATGCTCTGCAATCGTACCCAACGGCACCTACCTCATGGCAGTGGTGAAGAGTAGAGGAGTTAACACTGTAAAATGCTTAGGTCCTGGCCTGGCACAGAGCAAATGCACCATTAATGGTACTATTGTTATTTTGTGCGTAAGTCTGTTGAATGTTGCTGTGATTATAAACATGAATCTGTCTTCTCCATGTGATGACAGGTCCTTGAAGGCAGGGGCAATATCTCATTATCTTACCATTTTGCTCTAACTCACATCCTTCCCATCCGCCCACACACCTAGCACCGTGCCTGAGGAGTAGTAGGTTTCCTACGAAGATTCGTTAGTGGTGCCGGAGCTTCCTCTATGGGTGCCGGCCTCGTGCTGCTCCTTGCTCTACAGCCGGGAAGTCAGTCTGTCTAACTGACACCTGACAGCTGGGTAATAATAATAATCATCTTAATGAAGGCATTCCAGTTTAATAGCACCTTCTAGCTACTCTTCTCTCATATTGTCTGTTTAATTATTAAATAGTGTTTCTTTTCTTTACCAATTAACCTTTTTAAAAAAGAAATAGTACGCAATGGCGTGGAAGCCAATGGAAAGCACCCGCACCTCTAGCATAGACTCGCGTAGGTGAATAATTTAAAGGGAAGCGTGGCCGCCTGTAAACCAGCCAGGCTCCTCGTCTTCTTGAAGGACAGTGCAGCTAGCCCATTAGAAATGGTCTTTCTGGAAGCATGTTTGGAATATGCCGAATGGGGCACTGTCCCCAGAACTGACTGGCCCAGGGGCAGGGATTCCTAGTGTAATGACCACACCCAGGAGACAGGACCTTGTTTCATCACCAAGCATTTCTGTCCTTCTGTTGTAGGTATTAAGGCTGGAAGAATTTATCCAGCAGAACAAGGTATGTCCCCAAAGAGGGGAGGAACAACCCCAGGAACTCAACTACCCGCACCACAGCGTTTTAGAGACCCAGGTAAGCTTAGCTCTTTCTCTTTAATTAAGGATATTTCTCTGGTTCAACACTTCAGCATCCCCAGTGGCACATGCTGGCATTAATAGGCTTTTTATTTTCCCCCTCAGAGCTTCCAAAATGCCTGGAAAAAATCACTACAACATTCCTTCTGCTAAAGCCACGAACAAAATAGAGTTCTAAGTAATCCTCCACGTGGTTTGAAAAAGAACAAGGCTTGTCAGGTGCCCCTTCTCTCCCTTTCTGAAAGCAGCCTGGCTGGCAGACACAGGGGCCCTTGGCTCCGGAGGGGCCTTCAGTTCTGCTCAGCGCAAGGCATGAAGTCATGCTAATGTGCCCTCACCGCCCCCTCGCCGCCCCCTCCCCACGCCTGGTGTCAGTTACTCCCACACTGGCCCTCTGCACGCTACCCTCCTAGGGACGCTGCTCTGGGGCAGAATCTGGGTCCTGTGTGCCTCTCTGGTTGGCTCTGGTCGGCTGTATGACCTTCCTAGGTTTGTCCTGAGAGACTGCCACACATTTGGGGACTTAAACTGCAGAAAGGTATTGTCTCATGGTTGTAGAGGAGAGAAGACCAAAATCAAGGTGTTGGCAGGGCTGGTTTCTTCGGGAGGCTCTGAGGGGGTCCTGTTTTCTGCTTCTGCCCAGCTTGTCCCTCACTGAGCTCAGCTTCTAGAGAGAAGTACAGACCCTCGGCGGCACACGGCTGCGGGGGGACCCTCAATGAGTATCAGTTTCATTTGATTCAATTTAACGCCCTCGTGACTCACTCCTTCCACTGTCACTTGTGGAGTCCTAGGATGTGCCACCCTCTGAGCTAGATGTTACAGGGAAGAAACTTGCATAAACAAATAGCTTTGAAATGACTTGCACATTCAGTAGTAGAATCAAGCACCTGGTGCTGTGTATTCTAGCAGGCAACTAGAATGCACTTTGCAGGCATAGTTCTTTTAAATTTAACTTTCTTTTCAAATAAGCAATCTATGTGCATAGTACAGAATTCAAAAGGCATAGCAGATATACAGTGAAAAGCATGTTTCCTCAATCTAGTTTCCTACCTGTTTGTTTTGTTTTGTTTTCATTTTTTCTTTATTTTTATTTTCCTCGCAGAGTCATACCTTGTATGAGCAGGCATTTTTCCCCACAAATGATAGTATACTCTCCTGCCCTCTGCTTTTTCCAACTTAAATTTTTATAGCTTAGAGATTGTAACACATCAGTGCACTTCCATGTCAGCTTTATTATTTTTTATTTAAAAGAAAAACTGTGTGGTATTCCTTGGAACAGAAAAACCGTACTATATGTAACCCTCTCTTTTGATGGACATTTAGGTTTCTCCTGGTTTTTTATCTTTTAAAGATAATACTGCAGTGATAATAGATAATACAGAACTGTAGAGGGTTACAATGTAGTACAGGAGCTAAGTGAGCTCATTCCGAACTAGACGCCTGGGCTCTTACTGGCGGGAGGCTCTTGGACAAACAATCTGAAGGCTCCTGGCTTGAGCTGCCTCATCTGTAAGACTGGGAAGATGGCACCACGGCCGCCAAGGGTTTCCTGAGGACTACATGTGCGAATTAACATGCGCGCGGTATTGGGAACAGCACCTAGCACTTGTAAATGCTCAATAGTTGCTAATTCTTTCAATTGTAGAACTTGCCGGATCCAATGCATGTGCAATTTTTCCTTTTTCCGTCACAGCTGACGCTCCTTGTTGTGTCCTATTGCTTTCAGGGGTGGCGTTTGCGGTCTAACTTGGATAGACACGCCACACTGCCTCCCATTGTGCCGTTGTCCCACAGCCTTGCCAAGGCTGAGTTACAAAACCTTCTGAGCTTAGCCAGTCAGAGACTGTTTGTCATTTCGTTCAGTATTGGTGGCGAGCCAACTATTATATATGCCAGGCCAGCGAGTCGAAGCTTTGCGTAGGCCCTGGAACCACCGTCTTGCAGAAGTTCCCAGTGTCACCTGGGTGGTGTGTGAGCAGCCCACTGGCATGACATGGCATGGGACATTGCAAGGGGCAGATTGGTCTGAAAGGAGGAGGCTTAGCAGGGCCTGAACAATCCATGGCTGACCTGGGGATGGACACGGGGACCTCAAAACAGGGTATAAAAAGGCCAGCTTCCCCAGTGCCATTCTCACTGGATTGAGGGCTATGAATTTAAGCTTGTTCAAGACTCTGGAGTTTTAGTTTAGACCCTTAGCTGTTCTGCCAAAGCATTACAGTGAGTCAAAAGGATATAAATAATAGTGCCAATTGAGAGCCATATTTTCACTCCACTCTCAGAGTGTGCCAAGGGAAGGTTGCCAAAGCTGGGTGTGTCTCTGTCCCCACCCAAGTCAGCTGGGACTTTCCTGAACCTTTTGTCCCGGTCTCTCACATCAGGTCTCCTTGATTCCCTTGGCATCATAGTTTTATTCACTGGTTTCCAGAAAACCTGTTCAGTCTTGATAATTACGAGGGGGAACTTCTTTTCTGCAAGACTGTTCTGGTGCCAGGGTCGTACTGAACTGGGGGCAAAGAATGGTGACATTTTCATAGATTTCCTTGCTTGCATCTGCTCCCAAAAAAGAGAGAGTCGTTCGTGCTAGTTATCATTAAGTCATTTCACCTCAACAAGTAGGTGAGGGCTGTTGCTCCACAAAGCACATGGCTGAATACTGGGGTGAGTGGGACCCAGTCCTGGTCCTTGGAGAGCTCTGTTTCAAGTGGGGAAAATCACTATACACTTAACACGCTGTGTGAGAAATGCTATAACAATGACAAGAAGATGCTTGTGCAGCTGGTGGGGGAGAGGGAGGTTTCTGCCCAGGGAATCCAGGAATTCCACAGAGACATCTGCTGCCGCCTGCCTGGGCACTGAGGTTGCACGTGACTTCACCAGGAAGGGACATGGCAGGGGGAGGGGCACAGTGAAAGGTCCCAAACGAAAACCCTGAGGCCAGCGGGAAGGGACATGGGCAAGCCCAAACTCTCCCAGACCTGAGAAGTGTCCCCTGCTCGCGGGAGACCCGGGCTGGTTTGCTGTGCAGCCGTCACCTTGTATCACCAAACCCAGGGGATCATATGAGTCCATATGAGTCCAAGGGCGTTATCGTCTGGGGGTGAGCAGACACATAATCACTAAGCCCTTAAATAACTGACTCTCTGGGCATCGTCAGGCCACGGGGGTCTGTTGCGCTCCATCTGGTGGGAGCTGAGGGGTCTGGCTCCATCCAGCATGGAACCAGGTGGGCTGCACAGGAGACCCATTCCTTGGAGAGAGTCCAGGCTGGGACAGGCTGAGATCTGCGGGAGCCCGGGAAGGCAGCATGGGAAGGCCACAGCCCCAGGCTCAGGGTTAGGACATGGTTCCTTCCCGGCTTTCCCTCCCACCTGCACGGGTAGGGACCCCAGGCAAGGCCAAGAACATCTCTGAGAGCGGTTTCCCCATGGCTCCTAGTGGCAGCACAGAAAAGGCCCTGCCCATGAGCCAGGCACACAGTGCTTTACACAGTCCCACACCAATCCCGTGGGGCAAGTGTTATTACCGCCCTTGTACATACAGGGAAATCGAGGCCCACAGAGCAGCGCCAGGGGCCCGTGCTGTCAGCCACGTCGCTCTGCGGCTTCTCGTTAGTAAAAGGGCGGTGATCACCCCAGCCCCCACACCCCAGGGACTTGTGGTGATCAACAGGAGAAAGCACACGAAGGCACTTTTCAAAACTATTAAACGTTCTATAAATGTAGGGTGACTTTATAGTATCTCTTACAGTCCCGTGTAATCATTTCAGCAAAACCCCGTTGCATTAGGTGTTCTATTTTTAGATGTACATAATGTGCCTTTGAAAGATGGAGACTGACTTTGAAAGTTCCCTTCCAGGAGGTTTCCTGGGTGTGGGCGTTCCCCTAAAATGGAAACAATCCAGAAGAGGTTAGCAGCCTGGGAGATGAGAGATGAAGACCTAATGTGAACACAGGTTGAAAATAATCAGCTGTGTGCTTGGGAGGAGTAGGGCGGAGGTTTTGGCGGTGGGTGGCTGGAGAGAAGCAGAGCTATTTATTTTTCTGAGCACAATTTATACCCAGGTCAGTTTAACACTAGAGAAGGCACTGAGCTGAACCTGAGAAAGTGCCTGATGGGGAGCCTGCCCAGGAGTGCGAATGAAGGGCAGATGACTCTGGATACGCCCATGGCGGTTCAGCGTTGGCCCTGGGAGGAGCTTGCTGGGATGGGTCCCAGTGGATAACCAGAGAAGAGTGCACGGCTAAAATAAGTACTGGTGGGCTTCAGAGCCCTCTTTCAGCCAACTCTGGATCTCCATGGTCAAGTCTATTTGTGAAATATTTAAATGGCATTCTAACTCCTTTTTAATGATGTACTTGGATCCAAAACACAGGTAAGCAAGGTGTAGGAAAGAGAGGAGGGGACTGTTTGTGTCATTTACGTGGCTTGTTGGTCCTCCTACTGAACCATAAGTTTGTTGAAATCAAGAACTCTGTTTCATTAATCTTTATCCTTCCTGCACCTCACACACCTGCATGTGAGTGAAGCTCAGCACTTTCTGGTGCATAAACTGATGCAGGATGCGACAACTGAACAAATAGACTGCCAGTACCATTCTGAGTCCTGGTAGTTCAAAGGTTAGATTAAGAACTTCTTCAAAATTTGCCTTGGCTGGAGGATGATATAGAAGGACATGGGGGTCCTTTAGTTACTTGTGGGGGGAGGGGAGGGTGAGATTCATCTCCTTTTTTGGGAAGGACGCCTCCATCTCTGGTGTCCTGGGGCCTGGAAACAAGTGACCAGAAACAGGATCGCTGGGTTCGCCTCCCTGTTGATGTGGGATACAGCCTTCATCTCTCAGGGTGATTCTGAGTGTCTGCTGCGCAGACACTTCTCAGCAGCACGTTTGTGACAAACGGTTTGAAATCACACCCAGTTAGGTCTGATTCTGGCAGCTGGTGATCGCGCCAACGGGGCACAGCCAAGTGCCAGTGCGGTGACATGGAAGAACGAGGATGGGAGTCAGACGACCCAGGGGTCCAGTCCTCGTGCCACCCGCCCGTAGCCATGTGACCTGTGACAAGTCACTGAACCTTCCTGACCCTTGATCCCCATCGGCAGCACAAGGGCAGCGCTGTCTTCCCTGCCCCCTCGCGGAGCCCTGGTGTCCGTGAGTTACTGCAGGGAAACAGACACGAGTGAGGTGGCTGGGGCTGGGGTAGCCACCCAGGTGCATCGTCAGCCCTTTTAGTGTTTTTCCTCCTCTCCTGTTTCTGGACTCCTGCCCAATCGCCTTTAAATATGGTCGATAAGGCGGCTCAGCGGCCACATCCTGCACATTCCCTTTCACGGCCTTCACAGTGGCTTGGAGTCCATTTGAAAGTCTTTTTCATCTTTACAACTGACATGACATCTTTGTCCATTATTCATGCTGCTTTAAGTTCCTGCCCCTGGTTTCCTTGACCAGGCTTACCAGTAGTTTGATGTGTTTTTCAAAAGGCCAGCTTTCAGATGTGTTGGTTAGAACTATTTTGTTCTATGTCCTTAATTTTATCTTTCATATCCGTCCTTCAATTTTAGGTTTATTCCGTTATTCTTTTTCTAACTTCTTAATTCTTTTTTTACATACTCATTTAAGGCTACAAATTTCCAACTAAGTGTATCTTTTAAAGCTGTAGTTCAGAGTTTTGAACTTCATCTTGATTTTTTCAACCTACTTTCTGTTGCTTCTAACTTTATTGCACTGTCATCAGATAGATAACATGACCTGTGGACTGTCAGCACTTTGAACTGTATTGAGATTTGCTCTGTAGCCTGCTGCGGGATCAGGGTTTTGTTTTGTTTTGTTTTATTTTTTAACGTTCCCTACATAATAGACAAAAAGCATATTCTCGGTTGTTAGTTAAAGTACACGTATTTGAATTCTAGTTCTGTGGTATCGTCACCGTATGACCTTGGGCAGGTTACATATCCTCTCCTGCCTTTGTTCATTGCCTTTAAAATGGGATGGCAATGCCCACCTCATGGAGTTGAGGACCCAGCACACACGGAGCACCACTTCAATGTCAGCAGTGATTAGTAGTCTTTTTTTTAGCTATTTAGTTTTAGCTTATTAATCTTGTCCAAATCTTCCATATTCTAGCACATTTTTCTCTACCTGATGTATCAGTTCCCGAGAAGAGTGTATTAAAACCTCCCCTTATAAGCAAGCCAAGGAACACAAATGGAGGACTCATAGGCGGGAACAATGGGAGGGGACTGACTGTGGGCATCGGGGGGCAGGGCAGGGGAGAGCAACGGGGGAAAAGGCGGGACAACTATAATTGAGCAACAGTTTAAAAATGAAAAAATAGTCTTTAGACATTAGGATCAAAGGGGAAAATGTTAAGAAAAATAATCAAACCATAAAAATAGACCAAAGAGATTACTAAATGTTCTTTTGGTGTATTTCCAAATGTTTTCTGGCAGGTTCACTTGTGGATTATCTGATTCTCCACATCAGAGCTCTGAAAACTATGACCGCAGGTCAAAAACAGCAGCTACCATTTTTTGCAAATAAATAAAATTTAATGGGGAAAAAATGAAATAAAATCTCCCCCTTAGAGTTATAAATTTGCCCATTTTTTTCCTACAATTCTGAACATTTTCGCCATATGTTTTCAAGTTGTATTTTTAGGTGCCTACAGGTTCATTATTAGAGTGTTTTTGTTAAACTTTATTCATTTTTAGAGAGAAGGGAAGGGAGGAAGAAAGAGAGGGAGAGAAACATCAATCAGTTGCCTTCTGTATGTGCCCCAGCCAGGGACTGAACACACAACCTAGTCATGTGCCCCAACCAGGAATGGACAGGAGACCTTTTGTTTATGGGACAACACCCAACCCACTGAGCCACTGGGCTGTTGGAGTGTTTTAATGAATGATTTATTTTATCAGGATAGCTATCCATGTTGAACTATGCCAGTACATGCGTATCATGATTACTGGTACCATTTTGTTTTTGCCAACATATTTTGGCCTCTCCATTTACTGAAATCTCTTTGTAACCTTCAATCTTCCTTTTGAAACCTGAACCTAATTAACTTTAATCATCATTTATTTACTTATTTTGTAGTATTATGCTATTCTGATTTTTGGTGATAGTGGTTCCACATATACTGTGCAATTTTTTCTGTATTTCACCAAACATATATTTATAGCTCTGTCTCCCAAAGCAGTTTTGCTTAGCCTATGATATTTGCTTCTGGGTTTTATAGGAATCAGAGATCTACAAGATACTTTTAATGCCCAAAATGCCTGAAAATAGGAGGGAGATATGGGCCCTTTAGCGTCAGGTCCCCATGAAGGCTGTAAGTTAGTCAGGGACATCATTTCTGAGCGTACACGGTGGCCCGGACCCAAACTCGCTGGGCCCTGCACCTGGGGGCAGGGAAGCCACTGAACAAAGAAATCTGTTCCTATGCTATCTTACTGTACTGTTTCCCTGGACAGGAGTTACCTTGATGAGTGGAAAAATCAAATTCAGAAGGCCTTTCTCACCTTCATATCTCTGTGCAAAGGGGAAAATGACACGAACAAACTCAATTCATAGAAAAGTCCAAAGCCTGACCGCTAACTCCCAGTTTCCATATTCTCTTCCCTCCACACCCCCCCTCTCTCAGCAAGTTCCACGTTTTCTGATTGTTTGTGGTGAGACGTCACAGACCGTCACCTGTAAAATAGATACAGTCATAATGAGCAGCGGCTGTTGCCAGCACCCTTCTCTGATCCCCGCAACCCCTGTGACGCAGGCCCAGCAAGGACCGCTCTCTGTGGATCACATACGGAGTGGCATCACGAGGTGGTTGAACATCCAGGCCCCCGAGTCCAGTTGCCTGACTGCGTGTCCCATTTCTAGTACTCACTGATGGGGGAGCCCTGGACAAGCTCCTCATACCCTCTGTGGCTTAGTTTCATCAGCCTATGAAATGCTCGGTCACCTGGAGAGCAGGATACCAGGACCTGATACGCCTCCTAAGCCAAGCAACTGAGCTGGGTGCTGACCCATTCCGGGCCTCATCTTCCAGGCCTGCAAGCCGTGCTCCAGTGCTGAGTTGCTGGGGCTCTCTGCATTGATAGGTCACAGCTTGGATCAGGGCACTGTACTTAGTCTCATCTTGCAACTGTTTCTGCCTTAGGATCCATGCGTGACGCTGAATGAGCCTTCTCAGACCCTGCCCAGAGGAGAAGAGTATGAAGATAAGTTAGCAGCTAAGGAAGGAACCAGCAGTGATGAAGAGGACAGGTACAGGGGGACATGCACACTTCTGAGGGCCCCCATAAATGAGGGCTCAGACTGGGAAGGATTTGTTCATTCTTCTGTCCTCAAGTAATTATCGCTGCCCCTTGCATCATTCTTAAGGCAGGAACAGACATGTCTTGTGTGTCCTCAGCACAGCTGTGGGATTTCCCGAAACTATCATACAGAGTTGTCACACTGACCCAGAAAGGCCATTTTATACATCAGGACCCTGAAACTTAAAAAGGTTAGTAAACCTGACCAAAACTCAAACATGGACTGGCCCCAAACCCCTCCTCCCTGTCCTTCTAAGTGTTCTTTACTGAGGAGAGATGAGGGGGCTTTGTCATCAGGGGATATCCCCCAGCTGTGTCACCTGTATTAGTCACCTTTTGCTGCTATAACAAGCATTCCCAAAATATCAGTGATTTTTAGCTCATCAGCCAGCCACCTTGATTCTTGGTTCTGCCAAGCTCTGCTGGGCTTACATGAGCAGGGCTCCTGGCTGAGGGTCAGCTGTTATTGCCCCAAACCATGGGTAGAGTTCATCTGCTCCACAGGCTTTCTCACTCTGGGATGGAGGCTAACGTGTTAGTCCCTGACCAGGGCATGTTGTTATCATGGCAACGGGAAGAAGCTCAAAGGGCTGATGGAACTCTGCAATGCTTCCTGAAGCCTACACGCAGAATGTACTCTCTTGTTTCCATATTCCACTGGCCAAAGCAAGTCACATGGCCAAAATTTGTATCACTGGGCAGAGAAGAATATGCTCTTTACATGTCTTAGTCAGCTCAAGCTGCTATAATAAAATACCAGAGACTGAGTGGCCTAAACAGAAATTGACTTCTCACAGTTCTGGAGGTTAGAAAGCCCAAGATAGAGTTGCGGGCCTTTCCAATTCCTGGGGAAAGTTCTCCTCCTGGCTTGCAGGTGGCTGTCCTCTTTCTGTGTCCTCCCATGGTAAAGGGAGAGAGATGTGTCTCTCTCCTGTCTCTCTCATGTCTCTTCTTGTAAGAACACTAATCCCATCACGAGGGCTCCCTTTCATGACCTAATCACTTTTTAAAGCTTCCATCTCGTTGGGCAATAGGTTTCAACCTATAAACCTGGAAGGACCACAGACACTCAGACCCTAGCACTGGGGAGCAGCGTCTACACCCATAATCCCATCAATGACCGTGCCTGGCAACCTCTAGCCAAATGAACACCCCAGCGAGCGACACTTCCACAGCACCCTCCAGGTCCTGTGTCGGCCCATCTCTGAGGCAGAGAAGAACGCCAGGTGAACAGGACAGGCTCTGGAGTCGGGCCTCCAGGTGAAGCCCTGCAACCACCACTTACCAGTGGCAGCCACATTGTCCTGTTTATAACTCACAGTTCCAGAGGGAAAGAAACAATCTTTCCTGAAAATACCAGCAGCAATTTGAAAGAGGTCTTTAAGAAGCCCAACTTGGGTCACATGTCCATCTATGAGCCAACATTCCAGTTAAGGAGAAAGAGTGCTCTGATTGGCAGACCTGTATCACATGTCCTTTCCTGGGGCCAGCTGGGAATGGCGGCAGAGTTAGCTGTACCCGAACCCTGTGGACTAAACAGGATCACCATGGAAAGGCTCTCCCAGGGAGAGGAGGCTGGGCAGACCAGTAGCAGGTGGTGGTCACAACAGCCTTGTATTTTTCTCCCATGGCAGCTATTATTGGTGAGTGGGCATCTTCAACTACACAAGCAAACAAGGGGATGGGGGCTCTGGAGGTGGCTCACCCAGGGTTTTTGTGGGAGTTGAAGAGCTAAATAGTGAGGAGGAAGGAAGAGAAAATTATCTGAGATCTGAAGTCAGGGGCTGCGGGACAAAACCAATGCAGCGGTTCCTTTGGGGAAGGGGTCACATAGTTAGTAGTTACCCCCATGAGGGATGATTGTGATGAAACCAGGCATCTTGTTATGTTGGCTAAAAGGGAGGTGGCTTTCTCATTGGCTGTGTACTTAAGGTAGGGGAGAGCAGGTCAGGATCAGTTGTTTTTTTGTTTGTTTTTTAATCATCACCCAAGAACGTGTTTATGGATTTTAGAGAGAGGGAAAGGGAGAGAGGGGACCAAACCTGCAACCTAGGCATGTGCCCTGACCAGGAATCGAGCCTGTGACCTTTTGGATTACAGGAGGGTGCTCCAACCAAGTGAGCCACGCTGGCCAGGACAGGGTCAGTTTTAACAGGCAGGGAAGGGGGAGATCAGGAGAGCCAGCTGTGACTTGCTTTGTGATGGACGATGGCAGAGTGGGATGGGCTCCTTAGGATGTGGGGGAACTGAGGGCAATAAAATGGGGTCATTGCAAATATCCTTCAAAAACAGGAGGAAAATAACATTTCCAGGTACATAAAAGCCGAGATAACTTTTCACCAGCCAACTTGCAACATGATAAATGCTGAAAGGAAATTACACCGGATTTATACTTACATCTATAGGGAAAAAATAAAGAGCATCAAAAATGGTAAATGTATAAGTAAATATAAAAGACTACTGTTTCTCCTCTTAATTTCTTTAGAAGACACCAATTTGCTTAAGAGTGATAATAGTAACAATGACATTGTGTCACGGTGTTTGTATGTGTGTACAATAGTAGAACAGCACATGACCGCACTAGCAAGGAGTCGGGGCAGGATTAAAGGAATCATACTTTGTAAGGGATTTACATTTTACATGAGGAGGTACAATATTAACACTATGTAGATTGTGATGGGTTAAGGATACAAACTGCCGAAAAGGAAGAACAGAAGAACAACCACCAGAAAAAGGACTGGGCAAATAGAAAACAAATAGCAAGATTTAAGCCCAACCATTTCAACAATTATAATGTAAATGAAACAAACACACCATCAAAAAGAGATTGTCAGAGAGGAGAAAAAGGCAAGAGATTAGGCTACTCACAAGAGAGACATTTAAATATAAAGACATTTATATTTATATAAATATACCTCAGGATTCAACTGTAATTGGAGATGGGGCCTTTTAAGAGGTGACTGCGTTAAAATGGGGTCATTAGGACGACCCTAATCCAATATGACTGGTGTCCTTGTGTGAAGAGGGGATTTGCGCACGGCTAACACGGAAGGACCACAGAAGGGTGATGTGATGGTGGCTACCTGCAAGCCTCAGAAGACACCAAACCCGCTGACACCTTGATCTTGGACTTCTAGCCTCCAGAGCTGTGAGAAAATGAACTCCCACTTTTTCAGCCCTGCGGCCTGAGGGGTTTTGTCATGGCAGCCCCAGCACAGGCACACATGGGTCTGAAGGCAGAAGGGCGGAGAGAGATACACGGCACTAGCATTAAACGTAAGGAAACTAATGTGGCTACATTAGTATCAAAGTAGACTTCAGAACAAAGAATATTACCAGGATTTAAAAAGGTATATTTCAGAATGGTAAAGGGACAATTCATCAGGCAGATGTAACTATCCTACAGAGGAGGAAACTCAGGCCCTGACAGTTTAGCGATCTTGCCTAAGGTCACATAACTAGGAAGCAGCAAAGCTTGAATTTGAACCTGAACCGCCTGCCTCTAGCATGCGTGGTCTTAACCAAGTTGCTGGGCCACTCCTAGAACCTTCCTTTGCTTTCAGAGGTCCCTTAACCCCCAACCTGCGCTCTTGTTGCTGAGCCTTCTCACCTCTTTCAAGCCGGGCCCTGCCCCCCCCGCCCCCCCCGCCCCCCCGCCCCCCCACCTTCTCATGGCCTTTCTTCGTTGTCCAGGGTCCTGCCTTCCTAAGCTCTGGTCCCCTGGCCTGTGTCCTGGCTGGAGGAAGCAAAACACCCCTTCCACTTCAGCAGCCTCTACAGAGACGTCTGCCCTGTGACATCCTTTTCTGTTGTTAAACAGGACAAATGCCTAACATCACAACCTCAGCCAATTACATTTGAATTCCTCAGCTGGTTTAAAAGTTCAGAATTGAGAACTGGACTTCTCTCCAAAGACATTTGTCCGCCTCTGTTCTAGAATGCAGAAATTACTGCAGCTTTAAACCAGCATCATCCTATTCCTGTTACATTGTAAGGGCCTATTTATTACCCACCTATGTTTACTGGGGGATAGCCGGTAAAGGCTACGAGCATGCTCTGAAAGGTGGAAAGTACTGGATTCAAGTACAGCATTATTGTTGATTTTTTCATAAGCAGGAGGAGTTGTGAAAGTTGACCATGGAGACCTCTCCTTCTGGAAACCCCAGGGACCCTATATAAGTAACTAAGTTCGGCCACCCTGTCAGGTGATCATCGTGTATTAAGCAGCCACTAAAACTCTCAGGAGGCTCCGGCTGTATCCTGACTGTACCGTAAGGGCAGTGGCACTTAGAATTTGTACAGCAGGTGGTTTTTAATCCAAGGATGTTTCTCACTCCCCTAGCTGCCATGGGAGCGCTCTCAGCCCACGTGGCTGAGACATTATGGGTGTGGCGGTGCCATTTCTAGCCTAGGGTCTTTTGTGATTTTGGCCTCCATATCGTCAAAAGGATCGAGGTGCCGCTGGAGGAAGGCGGGGATCCGCAGGCTCCCCCGGGCCCTCTGCTGAAGGAGAAGGCCCCCGAAATCCAGCGTCTGCGGGAGGAGTGGCAGGGCCAGAAGGCCAGGCTGCAGGCCCAGGTAGGAGGACGGCTGCGATGGGGTGCGCCCTCGGGCTGGGTGAGCCCTGCCTCCTCCTCGCCCTTGCAGACAGGCAGCTTTGGGCGCGCACGCGGGGCTGTGGCGGGCATTCTAGGTCCAGGACAAGGTGGCGTTCCTAGTTCTATTTATTCATCTCTTCCACACCTGTGCGGCTCATGCACCACCACTGAGAGGCAGGACCCCTTCCAGGTGTTTGGGGTTCATCTATGAGTAAACCAGAAAAAAGTCCTACGTTAAAGTGCCTGTATTTTAGCAGAGAAGGAGGACACAGACCATAAATATTAGACATAAGAAGAAAGTAAAGCCCGTAACATATGAGCCAATGAGAAGGGCTCAGGAAAAAGGGAAAACAGCAGCGTAAAGGGGATTGGGAGGCTGGTGGGTGATGAGGGAGGGGGTATAATATGGAGTGGGCTTGTCCTGGGAGCTTCAATAAGCAGCAGAGCGGAGCAAGCACCTGAAGGCAGGGAAGGAGGCCATGTGGCCTCTGGAGGGTCCTCTGGTGCCTTCTTGATCTCTCTTGGATGGTCTGTATCCTAGTCCTCCTCTTCCCTTGCCCAGCATCCATGGCTCTAGCCAAGGTGCCCCAGGTTCTTCCAGCTTGAGGTTTCCGCCGGTGGGGCTCCCGCAGACAGAGGGGGCCCAGCTGGGTTGAGCAGACAGCCAGAAAACTTGTATCCTTCAAGGCAACCCGGGAGGGGGAACGGTCTCCGCTGAGGGCAGGCTGCCTGGGGGCAGGTGTCGCAGATGCAGCAGGCCCTGGAGCAGTGCGCCAGCAGCTACAGGCGCGACCTGCAGGAGCTGCGGCGGCTCTCAGACGAGGAGCGGGAGAAGCTGCAGCGCGAGCTCCGCGAGGCCGTCCAGCAGAGCCAGGCCGGGAAGGCGCAGCTCGAGGCTTCCCACCACCGAGCCCTCCGCGTGCTGGAGAAAGCCAAAAATCAGGAACTCAAGGTAAGGGTGCTAATGCGGAGTCCACCACGACTGAGCCCCGGCCACGCCGTTTACGGGGTGCCTCTCATACATCACCTCCATCCCCACAGCCATCTGCCAGGGTCATTATGATATTCCCTTTTCCAGATGAAGAAAGGCTCAGGTTCAGTCGCTTACTCCGGCTCACACAGCTAGGGAGTGGCAAAGCAAGGATTCAGACCTAGATTGGTTGGGCTCCTTGTACTGTTTTTCTTGACCAGCATGTGACCTTGATAACCTAAGAACAGTTTTCTTTCCTGACCTGGGCCATGGTGGGCACAATGCGTGCTGGAGAGTCAGGCTCAGCTGAGCAGCTAAAAAGCGGGGGAGGGCAGTCCAGAGTTGAGAAGGACCAGCTGCGCGGACAGGACCTTTGGAACAGCTTGGAAAGCTGTGGTGTGGGTCAGGCCCTCCGGCAGGCAGGTTCGAACACCTTCTACCTCCCACCATCGCCTTCTCCCTTCTACTTTCTCAGGAGGCAAGACAAGGCACCGCTGCCCTCAGCCAGCTGCCCCAGGCTAAGCATGCCCTCTGTTCTCCCTCAGGGCAGCCTCGTGCATTGGGTGAAATCCTGTTTCTCACGGTTCCCAGAGGTTGCCCGAGGGAGTAGGAAAGGCTTGTGGCCCAGACACTGCAGCCCCTGGGTCACTGTCCTGCCTCCACCATGACCTGTTTTCTGTCAGCAGGTCTCTTTCCCTTTTCAAGTCCAGTTTCTCCTCTGTATGGAAAAAAAAAAAAAAGAAAACAAAAGCAAAAACAAAAAAACCCAGCCCTGGCTGGTGTGGCTCAGTGGATTGAGTGCCAGCCTGCAAGTCAAAGCGTCACTGGTTAGATTCCCAGTCAGGGCACAGGCCTGGGTTGCGGGCCAGGTTCCCAGTAGGGACACACAAAAGGCAACCACACATTGGTAGTTCTCTCCCTCTCTTTCTCCCTCCCATCCCCTCTCTAAAAAGAAATTAATTAAAAAACAAACAAAGAAAACAAAAGGAGGTGGGGAAAGGTGGGTGATTTCTGCATCTTTGACTGCGTGACCTTGAAAAAGCTAATTTATCTCTCTCAGCCTCAATTTGCTCATTTCAAAAGTGGAGCTATATATTAACTGGAACTCTCTTGGAAAAAAAGAGAAAAGAAAGAAAGAAAAAGAAAGAGACTCCATTAGTTTCCTATTGCTGCTGTAACAAGTTACCACAACCTTGGCAGCTTTACACAACACAGTTTAACTATGGTCCTGAAGGTCAGAAGTCCCAACACCAAGGTATTGGCAGGGCTGTTTTCCTGAATGTGTTAAACTTGAAGACCTCTAGTCAGTGTCTATCTCTCCCTCTTTTCTTGTTCTCTCTCTTCTCACCTCCAGCACCAAATCCCCAGTGATCGTCCTGCTTGTAAGGAGGGCCCACTCTGGCCCAGTCAGCTGTGGACCAGGGTTATGTCCACGTGGTACAAAACAGCTGCTGTGGCCAGGCCATCTCTGCCACCCCAGACAGGCTGGGGAGGCAGCTGATAAGCCCTCCACCAGGGAGTGGCGAGTGCTCGGCTGGGCCCCAGCAAAAAAGGGGAGCTCAGCAGAGGGGACAGGTCTCCCCTCTGTGCCCACTTTTACACCTCCTTCCCCCTACTCCCCCCCACAGGCCACAGAAGAGCTCCTGAAAAAGGAATCCAGCCACAGCCTGCAGATGCAGCACCAGGCACACCAGCTGGAGCTCCAGGCCTTGGAGGAAAAGGTCCGGCAGGAGCTCCAGGGCGAGCAGGAGAAGGCGCAGGCCCAGCAGGCTCTGCTGCTAGGTATGTGACCAGCCGCCCCGTAGGGTCTGCAGAGGGAGCAGAGCAGCAGCATGCAGCCCAGGGGTCTGGAGCCACACGGGCCAGGGTGACCCTCCTGCTTCTGCCACCAACTAGCTGTGAGACTAGGGGTGGGTCACTCTCAGCCTTGTATCCCTTTTTTATAAAATGGAGTCACAATGCCCCTACCTCATAGGGGTGTATTGTGGATTTGATGAGGTATTAAATATAAAACACTTAGTTTGTAATCTGAGTTTAGTGAATGTAGATTATTTTATCATCTTTATTCTTATTGGCCACAAATCTTATCTCTGGGCCTTCATAAGAGTTTCATGGGCTGGCCTCAACCTCTCATTTCCACTCTGAAGATTTTTGTAAATTGGGGGGACTGAGGCCGCGCGGCTCCTGCATGTTCTCTGCTCCCTTTGCCAGCCCCTTCATAATCCCCAGCATGAAATTCACCTCCTCTTCAGTCCCCACATCAAAAACCAGTCACACAGAGACCTCCAGAGCCCAAATGTCTTGGCTACAAGCCCAGCCCTACCCAACACTCACTGGCTGTGTGACCTTGGCGAATTGCTTCATGGCCCTGTGCCTCAGTTGCTCAACTGTAAAATGGGAATAATAACAGAATCCACCTCATTGGGCTGTTGTTAGGTTTACGTGAGTAAATACAGAGCACACAGGCTATATAAATGTTCAGTTATTCTTATTCCATGTCCCACAGTTGCCTAGGCCACTCCTGGGGCCTCTCTCCATTTTGTAGATCATCTTTCTTCCTCATTTTATGCTTTACTCTCGTTTTCCTTCTCACTGTTTCAACACAGCTGCCTCTCCTTATTTCATGCCTATCATTAAAGACCATGGGGACCTTATTAGATGTTTTTTTTCAAACCCAGACAGGGCTCCCGTAAGAGAATTATGGTGAAGAGCAATTTCTTTACCTGCATAATTGAATAAGATCTACCTGCTGCTGGTGGAGTTTTCCTTAGACAGTGGGTCCTGCTGGAGGAAGAGATATGGGAGCAGGAAAGAGAGTCCCACAGGTTGGCCGGCTAACAGCTCCCCCAGAGTGGACGTAGCCATGTTGGAAAGGCTAAATAAAGGTAGCAGGAAGACTCATTATAGAAGATAACACTTTCTTTGTGCCCCATGTCTCAGTAGAAGACCCGCCAAGTTTAGATCAGGATGCCCGGCGGCTGTCAGCACAGAGGTCCCTGCTGCCCCTTCTCTGGCCCTTCTGATCACCCACCAGTTCGGTTCTTTCCTGACAGGAAAATTAGGAGAGACCCTGGGGACAGGCTGGGATTCTCAGCATCAGTCTCAGGAAGAAGGGGCTCTGTGGATGCCGCAATGATAAAATCGTGGGCTTCCTGGGTGGTACTTGGTGGGCGGGAGCACCTCCCATACAACAGAGTGGAATTCCGTACTCCTGGTCCCAGTCACTCCCGTTCCACTGTCTGCGTGGGACATACCTGACCTGCAGTCCAGGTCAGTGGTGAAGGGCAAGGGGCGAGTGTCCGGAGGTGCTGCGATCCTCTGGGTGGGGACCCAGACCTGCTGGCTGGCTGGCTGGGTGGGTAGGTGGTGGGAGAAGAGGGGAAGGTAATGAACAAATACACTACAGTTCATGCTTTGCTAAAGGGTTTTATTGCAATTTTCTGATAAAGAGTATCAAGAAATGGGGTTGTGTCTGGATTTTTTTAGAAGAAAAAATGCTTTAAAAGTTACTTTATTAAAAAATATTCTATTGAGGAGAAAAGATGATCAAGTAAGTTTTTCAACATCATATCATCAGAATATATTAAACACATGTGTTTGATATACTATACCTTTGAGAGGAGCACAGTAGGCGTATGGGAAATCTTTCACAACTGATACACTTTTATTATATCATTGATTTTCACTGTAAACATTTGTTTATTTTACAAATATATTTTGAGCACTTGCTATGTACTGAGGCCCATATTGGGTGCTTATTTTATGGCTCATGGGATTATTGCAAGAATATTTCAATAGTTATTTGCAATAACCAAAATATAGTCTCAAAAGTCCCTAACAGAAAAGTATTAAATTTACTAGCCCTTAAAAAGTATCTTCTTTTTAAGAAAATAATAAATAGCTCACTGAATAGCATATGCCCTATCAGAAAACATTGATTTTGAAATGATTGTTTTCTTTGCCTTTCAATCACACGAGGACACTACTAGAACTCAGCCACCATCCTCAGAGGAGGAATCTGAGTTTCTGGCTGTACTCTTCCCTGAGCTGGCAGGGGGAGGGACTGGTACATTTCTCCTGGGTGATTCTGATTTTAATCCTGATTCTGTTGGGACAACGTGCCATGTCCTGCCTCCACCACCCATGCAGGGAGAGGAGAACCTGGGACTGTTTTGTCTCCTTAAGAGTAGGTATAAATGTCAAAATTTCCAACCCAAGACTCGCAACCCCAGAAGAGGCCCCTGGTCATTTGATAATTCCCTGTTCTCCTCTTGGTTTTTGGCCTTGGTGCTGGGGCCTGTATTGCCTCAGGGTCCCGCCCTGGCTCAAGGCCATCACACCGAAGCCCACTGCCTCTCCTAACCACCTGGCAACAGTTGAGCCACGGTTCAGAGTGAAGAAGAACTCCTGGAAATGTTGGATCCTGACTTCACAGCTTATTAGCTGTGTGGCTCTGGGTTACTTACTCAACCTCTCCGAGGCTCAGGTTCCACTCATCAAGCCAGGAGTGGTAATACTGGATAGGACTGTTGTAGGGAACAATAAACAGTTCCCCGGGTTTTTAGCACATTTAGCGTGCTGTACACTGAACTCTCCTTACTGTTATCTTGGAATAAGTTTGGAGACCTCCATCCAAAGCCTTCAGCAGCACCTAGCCTGGGACAGACTTCAGCCTTCACCTTGACCTTGCGCCTGACCTTCTTGCTCTTCCTTTTGCAGAGTCCCTGAGGCAGGAGTTGTGGCAGCAGCGGGCCGCCTGCTCTGAGCACCAGAAGGACTTAGAGGCGCTGCAGGCTGAGCTGAGGGCCGTAGGCAGCTCTGACCAGCGGCGGGCCATCGGCCAGGGTGCGGGCGACATGGAGGACCACGTGGACACGACGGAGGTGTGCGCCCCTGGCGGAGCAGTCAGGGCTGCAGTGGGCTCCTAAAGAGGAGGCCCGGGGTACTCGCCCCTTGTCTCAAACGGGGAACACCCTTTTCCTTCCCTATGGGACCCCTGGGGGCCTGCAGGCTGACCTTTCAGTAAAGGAAACACAGGCTTTAAGCTCTGCATGTTGTTTTTAATTCCAACACAACAGCATCTCTGGGCGTTGGTGCCAGACGGGGCTCCGAGTCAGCCAGCCTGGTGATCCCTTCAGATCTGCAGGAGGATGTCTCTGAGCCCCTCCTCTGTCTAGACCTCCCTGTTCCCATGAGTGGGAGCAGCCTTGTCACCCGGGCTCAGTGTCCCCTCTCCTTGAGCGTCCCGGTCAGACCTGGCCCCCTGGCCCCTTCCTTGCACATCCGTCACTCCTCCCTAGCTGGGTAGCCCCGCGACCTCGCAGCCCAGACCTCCGAGCGCCGGCCCGCCGCCCCGCTTCAGGTGTGCCTCTGTCGTGCCTGGGCACCAGCCTTCGGGGGCTCCCGACTGCCGCTGCGGCTGGAGGCGGGGGCGGCGCGCACCTGGGCCCTTTGCGCTTCCTGAAAACGTCCCTCCTGGCTACCTTCTCCCCAGGAGCGGGGCGGCCCGGGCCCGGAGGGCTCCCCGAAGGGCGCTGCTGAGCGGAGTCCGAGCGAGGGGTGCCTCCTCTGGGAGAACTCGCAGCTCAAGGACACGGTGCGGCAGCTGCGGGCAGAGGTGGAGCAGCACCAGCAGGAGGCGCTGCGGCTCCGCGACCAGCGCAGGTGGGTCTGCGGGCCCCTGACCTTCCTTCCCTTCCCTTCCCTCCCTGCACTGCGGTGTGGTGAGCCGCGGAGATCTAAAATCGGCCACCCCTCGGCACCTTCCCGAAGACAAAGACTCCCTAATCCGCCAGCAGCTCGCCGATGTTACTCCCTGGACGCCGGAACAGCATCTAGGAAACTGCGGAGGACCGGCCCTGACAGAGGCGGGAACGGGGCTTCAATACAAATCAGGGAATTAATGGAACCAGACTGAACGATACCAAAAGTATCCTCAAAACTAACCTCGGGGAGACAGTGCTGTGTGCCCATAACTAGCTGGCGAGCTGGGCGACAACTACCCCCTCCAAGACTGTCCTCCGTAAAGTGGGGATGGCGCCACCCCGGGGATGGGACTCAGGGAAGTGTCCGAGCCCCTGAGCGCTGTCCCAGGCCTGAGGGAAGCGCTCCGTCAACCTTGGGGTCACTCCGACCTAATCCAGGCTGGACGGCTCATTATCAGCCCTGAATTCACTGCCTCCCCCGTCCCCCCACTTCTTGGATAGGTCACAACTAAAATTTTAACTTCACTAATAGATACAGGACTTTTCAGGTTATCTGTTTCCTGCTGAGTGAGCTTTGGTAGTCCATTTTATCCCCGCTGTTCAAGTGAAAGGGGTCGTTCGGGTGGGAGGCTCATCTAAGCAGCAGCCAGGAGCCCACCTGGCCAACGGGCAGCGCCTCCGAGTGGGTCCGGGACTCACCCTGTGGCACTGGGATAAGGAGATGGACCAGGGTAGGGTCTTCTAACCATTTGGGGGTACAGCCCCCTCCAAGTCAGAAAAGCAGTGGTCCTTCTCCGGGGAGAAGGATTTAGTCACACAGAAATATGCAAGTACTTGCCATGGCTGGGTGGCCCAGTTGCGTAGAACATTGTCCCATAAATCAGTTTCCAAAAGGTTTCGGGTTCCATCCCCAGTCTGGATGCGTCTGGGAGGCAAGCAATACCTGTCTGTCTGTCTCTCTCTGCCCCCCCCCCCCCGTTCCTCTCCTTTTCTCCTTTAAAATCAGTAAACAAGTCCTCGGGTGAGGATTATATATAACACTTTCTGAGGGTGACACACTCCGCAGCTTGTCTGTGGATCCCCACCCCTAGGCTAAGGAGAGTGACAGCTGATGGTTGAATACACACTGTGTGCCACACACTGTGTGCTACAGACTGTCCTGGACATGTAGGAACATGATCATTTTTGCAGTAACCTTGTAAGACAGCCACTGTTGTCACCTCCACGTAACAGATGAAGAAACTGAGAAGGACATACTTTGCCAGAGGTCACAAGGCTAGGAAGATCGCTCCAAGGTCACAAGGCGGAGGCCGTGGGTGGATGTGGCAGCCTGGCTCTAACGGCCCCCCTCCTACCCCGTCCCCACCTGCCCGTGCCACCCTGCCCGGTCCGAGCCCCAACCTTCAGTCATCCTGATGCAGAATCACTGCACCCACGCTCCCCCTGCCCCAGGTGAAGGGGACGCGTGCTGAGACTCCCATCCAGAGCTCCTTGTATCTCTCCCCGCAGGCCGTTCTTCATGCAGTGAAGAGGTTCCTCCCTCATGGAATGCTGGGGCGAGAGGTCCCCCAAGTCAGACACCCCAGGTCTCCTTCCCACGGTGTCCCGCCCTCAAAGTCATAACCACCCCCACCCATTGTCTCCACACCGGGCCACCCAGCAGAGTGGGGAGACATCCCCAGTGCCCAAGAGGCAGGTCCCCAGAGCCAGGGCCAGCCCAGCAGTGCTTCCCTCCACCGCAGGCAGCTGGAGGAGGACCAGCAGGCACAGCGGGCCCGGGAGGTGGAGAGCCTGCGCCAGGAACACCGGAAGGAGGTGCAGGCCCTGGTGGCAGACTTCAGCAGTGCCCAAGCCCGGCTCCAGGCCCGGCTGGCTGCCCTGGAGACTGAGTAAGTGAGGCTGTGGCCCCAAGTTGGGAGGGACGAGTAGATGTATCATTTTCTGAGGTGACTGACTCATCCCAGTGTTTCTAGGACCCCCCGAGTTTTAAAACTAGAAGATCTGAGTTCCAGGAAGCCCGTTGGTCCCTGAAAAACTGGAATGATTGGTCACCTGTCATACTATGGCATTGCAGCCCCTTTCACACAGGGCCCTGGGAATCTGTGAGGAATAGGACTGCCTCTTGGGCTTGGTTGGACCCTCCCCACGGGAAGACATCAGAAGGATCAAGTCCCCCTTTTTTATTAGCATTGGCCCTCTCCTGCCATGCATCATCTTGTTTAGTCTTCAGTTGTCCTTCATGGTGGAAATTGTCATTCCCACAGGCAGTTACAGCTCCAAGGGTCCCTTGTGCATGCATGCATCCATCTGTTCACTCAACAAATACTTACTGAGGGCTTACTGCTTTAGGCTCTGGATTACTGCAGAGAACAAAACAAAGACTGTGCTCTCTTAGAGCTCACAAATTCTAATGGGGATCCTGACAAGAAGCAGGGAAACAAATACTTAATTTCCTATCAGGTGGTGAAAGTGCGCTGGAAGGAAAATAGGCTCAGTTTCTAGAGAGTGGCAAGGATGGGCAAGGAAGGCCTCTTGGTGACATTTATGCACAAAGGGGCAAGGGAATGAGAGAGCCATCTGGAGAAAGGGCAACTCAGAGACAACAGCAAGTGCAAAGGCCCTGGGGCCTGCTTCGTAAGACTGAACAGCCCAAAGGCTCATGTGGCTTCCGTGGGACAGGCGAGAGAGTGAGTGGCAGAAACTGAGGTTGGTGGGGTACCTCGGAGGGATGAAGGAAATATGACAGGGAACGGGGAGCAGTTTGGATGTATTCAGGGGCACCGGGAAGCCACTGCACGGCTCTGAACTGAAGTGACATGGTCTGATTTACTTTTTAACTAGGGTCACTCTGGCTGCTAGGGGACTGGAGGATTGGGGTTAGCATCAGGGAGACCAGGTTAGGCAGCACTGAATGAAGTTAAATGTCACCTGTCTGACCCTTAGCTTGAGCTCTTAAAAACTGTCATCCACTCTCTCTAACACAAAGCCAATCATCCAAAGTCTGGAGTGGAAGCTTTTACCATCTATCCTCCAGTGGGCACTTACCATGTGCCGGGCACCCATTATCTCATTGAATCTTCACAATCTCCCCGTTTCACGCCCGCTTTAAAGGGGCAACGGAGGCTCACAGGTGAAATGCCCTGCCCAAGGTCACAGCTAGAAAAAAGGTGGGATTAGAGCCCAACTCATCTCACCCCGAAGCCCTAACCTCTTATCAGCGACAGTCCATAGGTCATCTGCAGCCCTAACCCTCCCCCTCCCACACCACCCCGAGAGTTCTTTCTCCAGCTTCACGCTGAAAGGGCGGTGGGGCCCCAGCTGCCCTCGCTGCTCTGCCCAGGAACTAACTCGTGCCACACCCCGTGTCGGCCAGCAGATAGCGCCAGAGCCACGTCGGCACCCACAGAGCCGGTGGGCATTGGTGGGAGCCGGACACGTTCCTGCGAGGTCGCTTCTCCCAAACATCCCCTTGTTCTTGAAGTCCCAGCGAGTGCAGCGTCTGTATGCACACACGAGCCACTGGTCCCTCGGCCATGCATCCTCGGGGGACTGACAAAGTCACACTGGGAGGGGAGGTCCTGGACTCCACCCCGAGCTCTGCAGCCAGTGCACTCGTTGGGCAAGCTCTCTGGGCCTCAGTTTCCCCTTTTGTGAACTGAGAGAGTGGCGTCCCTACCACGTCATCACCAAGTCTCCCGGCTGGTGGCTGAGTGACTGCAGCGAGGGGCTAACTGCGTGTCTATTTGAAACAGAAGGAAAGAATCTGGAGAGAAGCCGGGGAAGGGAGCGTCCAGGCCGGAGGACGTCCAGCTCATAGGCCGCCTGCAGACCCGCCTGAAGGAGAGAGAGGAGATCATCAAGCAGCTCACGGTGGGGCTGGCGGGCTCGCCGGCGGGCCCTGCTTGGGCACCACCGAGGTCCTGGGGGCGAGGGGAACTCACTTGGCACCTGGTATTTTACTGGGTCTTCCAGTTTTAATCCTGATAAACATAAAATCCCTTCCAAAAACCCTTGGCTGCTTTTTCTATTGTATAAACACTACATACTAAAACACACACACACACACACACACACACACGCACGCACGCGCACACGCACACACACACACATGAAAATAGCAAAACAGCACTCTATTCCCAAGCCCCAAAACATCTGCCTGCTACTGATACTGGTTGGTTTTTTTTAACCAACAGAATTCAGGAAGACCTAGAATGACTTGCCTTATATTTGAGTTTTAGTAGATTCAAGCAAGCTCATTATTCTTTATTGATCTTCCTTCTTTAAAAAGGGACCACCTGTTTTCCAGTTAGCAAAGCCACTCCCTGGGCCCTACCAAGGTCTGATGGCCATTTCTTTGAAGTGCCCCTCCCCCCATCCACTGCTGCCCATTCACCCAGACCCTGCACGGCCCACTGATGTCTCCTTATGCTTTGACCATTGCTCTGGGCTCTCACCCAGCCTCATCGTGCGGCATGCTGTGGTGGAAAGTTCCTTGTATCACCCCATTGGAGAGCTCCCAGTCCCTTACAGTCAACTCTGGGGACCGGGGCCACAGAGTCACCCCTGTCAGTATGGCCCAGGGGAGAGAGCCCGTTTGCCCCATCAGTAGTCCAGGCACTTCCCTCCACAGCCTTGACCCAGGCCGCACAGCTTCTCACATGCACAGTCTGAGCCTCCACCCCACCACGCTGACCTCACAGTGACGAGGGTGAGCTTGTGAAAACGTAAGTCAGATCACAGCACGGCTCTGTGCGGCACCTCCCGAGGCTTCCCATCTTTCTCAGGGTAAAACCCACGCCTTCCAGGGGCTTGCAGAGCCTCACGCCCTCCCACAAACGCACGCACACCTGTCACGTATAGCCCATCTCCCAACCCCGCTGCCCTGCTCCCCAGCCCTACTCTTCCATGCCAAGACGTTAATGAGCCCATCAGGAAAACGTTACCACTCCCTGAAAATTACACGACACTAATAAGGGATCCTCATTTGGTAAGTGTGACAAAGGTATTGTGGTTTTATCTTTAAAGAGTCCTTATCTCTTAGGGACACATTGATGTTTCTACAGGTGAAATTGTACACTGACTGGAATTTGCTTTAAAAATAATACAGAAGGGAAGAAAAATGTGGAGGATGGCACATATTAACAGGATTGGCCGTGTAGTGATTGTTTCTGGGGGTCTTCTTTCTTTGCCTCAATTATTACCTTTCTGTACCTCAATTAATTAGCTTTCTGTAGTAGACTCTTCTTAGTTGCTAAGAGAACTTGGATTTCTAACTTCCCTCAGGCATTCCAAATAAGCTTGTCCTTTGCTTTGTTACAAGAGGGGCTGGGGGAAAAGATCCCAAAAGTAAAAGTGCTTCCTGAAAGCTTCAGTGGATGACAGCTTGGTTCCCATTGGCTGCCCCCCACCCCAGCCCAACCCCCGGAATTCCCTTCTCCTTGTACTCCACCCTCACGCAGCTAATCCAGTGCCGCATGGAGAGGCTCACTTAAACTCAGTTGTATTGTTTTTTTCAGGAGGAGAGAAGATTTCACTACGCAGCGCTCCCCAGTGCAATGTCCCATCGGAATCGGTCCTTCTCTTTCAATCCTCACCCAGGGTATTTGACCCCTTCCATGAAGGTAAATTGGTTCTGCTGGTTCCAGTGCGTTACCCAATTCTGCTGGTTTCATTTTTCCTAAGGTAACTGCAGCCTATTTATCAATGGCTGGGATGCATTCAAAGGGATACTCGTGGAAAATAAGACCCACAGAAAATAGTCCAAATGATTAAACAGTGTGTATTATATCTGGCTAGGAAGAGAATGTGTATTTTTTAAATGAGTTTTTGTATTCTAATTTGCTATAAATAAATGTGTCACTATTAATAGTGGCTAAAATAATAATTGGTGGTAGGAAAGAGTGAAGAGCAGGCATCTTCCACTTCTTAACATTTTTCCTTAGATATTTTTGGAATTTGTTACAATGAGAATATTCACATCCAAATCTCTCATCTGCTATCACAAATCATAAAAGTGATAAAAAGAATTGTATTTTTCACAGCTCACAGAGTAATGAACCTAACCTAAGCTGAACTGATGAGAGATTATAATTTTTATGTCTACTATCCTCCTAGTGTAACAAAATGTTAAGTTTCATTTCAGAAATATGCATGCATTTGTGGGCAGGATAGGCCCAGCTTCAGCTGGGGGTGCTATGTGGCCTTTTAAAATCTAAAAGGAGATTTTGAATTACAAAACAGGAATATTAGGTAAGAGATAGTGAACATGTTTGTTTTCTAAAACACAAAATAGATCAGAAGAAAGGGAGCTTTAAACAAATAAAATGGAAATATATAAATAAAAGTATTGCCTCCTCTGTTACATCACTCCAGGCCAGGGGGCATGGTTTACTGTTACAGCAATGTCCCTCTGCGGTGACTCTCAAAGGCCTTTCCTTGAATGCAAACAGAAAAAGAAGATGGAGGAAGTGCCCAGCCGAGTGGTCAGCGTGCCAAACCTTGCCTCCTATGCCAAGAACTTCCTGAGTGGAGACCTGAGCTCCAGGATCCACGCCCCGCCAATCACCAAGTCACCCAGCCTGGACCCAAGCCCCAGTGGGGGCCGGCCTTACAAACCCACCCAGTCTCCAGATGTGAAAACAGCCGCAAGGTAGGGGGCAGAGGCTGGGATTCCGTTTTCCCACAATAGGAGGAAAATTGGGACTCCGTTCTGGCACCTGTTAAATACCCGGTACTTGGGCCAATATAAAGGGTAGCAAATCAAGCCCTGCCTTGGAAAAAGTACAGTCCAGCCAAATGGGAACATTGTGTAAAAGCAGAGAAATAGGCCATTCTTTAGAAGAGAGACTATTCCTGGTGCCAAATTCCAGAAAGCCTTTTTTTATTTTTCTTCATGGCTGATTAAACAAGGGACATTGAACCACCTAGCTGACAACTTCAGTGTGGGTTACACAGAAGATGGATCCTCATCACCTGGCCTTGGGGTCTGGATTGAAGTTCTCATCCTCCTCATGTTGAGCTGTGTGGCCTTGGGCAGGTTACTTGACCTCTCTGGGTCTCCATTCCTTCGCCTCTAAAGCAAAGATAATGCAGCACCTGCTTCATCAGACTGATGTGACAGGTTAAAGGAATTAATCCATCGGATGTGCCTAGCACAGGACCTGGCATAGAAGCATTCAGTGTATGTCCACTATTACCGTTAAGGCTATTTCTCAAGATCTATGGTATCTGCTTGGCACTTTAAGGCCTCTTAATCTATGGGTTTGTTTGATCATGCATGACCGCCTCAGGTCCTGCCTTCTTATTCCTCCAGAAAGCCCTGCAGCATGCTTCTCTTCCACAAAAGTGCTTTTTCCTTGTATTAGTTCTCCCTCTTATCCAGTCTTCATTCAGAGGTAAAATTTTAAATTCTGGGCTTTGAAGTCTGCATTTCAGAAAGGGCCGCTCCTCAAATATTCTTTTCCCTAAGGCCCTGCCTACCCGTCGCTATTTGGACAAATGGGGCAGCATCGATCTTAATGAGCATCGAGCTGCAAGGACCTCCTGGCGGTCCGTTATCGAGCCCAGCCCTTTGTTGCCCAGCGAAGGAAGCTGAGGCCTGGGCTCCCAGCACATCCCTGCAGTCGCTGCTGGAGCTGGCGCACGGTTCATCTCGTAATCACACACCTCTGTTTAAGGCTCTGTTCTCATTATTTTGTATGAGGTGCCAGAGCTGCAGATAGAGACCATTCAGCCAGGTACACACCATACTTCCTTGCTTACTGTTTCCCTTTTTCAATATATTGGGCTAATTGTATAGCCTCACTGTGATGCTAGAACACAGTAAATAGCTTTTAAGGAAGCCATAAATTGTAATGCTGTGTTGATCAACCATTTCTTTTACCTTTTTTTCTCTTTCTTTTTTTCCTTGTAAGAGTTCAGCTGAGCCAAACTGACAACATACACTGGGGAGCAAGATCTCAAATGCTCCTCTTTTACCTTCTTTATGGATTTTGTTTATTGTTTCATTTGTGCCTGAAATAAATTTTACAAATACACCTCATTGTCTTATGTGAAACAATAGACAACCTTTCGTTTTCAAAACAGGAACTAGACCTTCCCTCCCCATCCCTGTCCTTCACCCCTGGTTCCCTGATCCTCATGTGGGCCAGCCATTGTCCAGGAACTTTTGAAGAGTAAAGAAGCAGTTCTCTTTCCCTGAAAAGATGGCGGGATATGAAGTTGTTTACTGAGTAATTTTCAAAACCACCTAAACCTTTTTGTTTGTTTGTTTGTAGGACACAGGATGATGAAACAGCTCAATCCAAAGAAGTCCAGCAGAAACAGGGCTCTGCCCACCAGGAATGGTTTACCAAGTATTTTTCCTTCTAAATTGATCCTTGGGATCCATCACAAAGAGGATGTTTGAAAAACATTTCTTTTAAAACATCTGTTGAGGGAATGAACTAAAAAACCAATTGACCAAATACCTTGCCTTGTACCATGGTTTGCATACAATAGCTAGAACAGATTTTGGCATTGACAGTTCATACTGTTTCATTGTGACACCAGGCCATTAAAAATTCTTGACATTAGGATAAAACAAACCAGTGTTGTCATAAAGCATCATAGGAAGATGTTATTAATGTCACCAGTGACCCACCCATTGTATGCCTATGTCCCTAAGATTGCCCTCCACTTGGTGGTTTCCACTGTTTACTGTTAGGGCAACTTCATTTTCCCTTAGGACGCAAGTCAGATCCATTTGAAAAGTGTTTTTATGTAAGTGATATGATTCAAAATGCACATCTAACCTCAATAAGAAGATGAATAAAACAAAGTTCCGAATAACCAGGAAAGCCAATTAAGAAAGCAAAACAAGCAAATCAAGACCATGACATACTTAGATTAAGTATTTTGATTTTCTAATCCAGGACATGGAGCTGATAATAGAGGGGATAACACCTACCTCAAAGTGGGGCTTTATGAGGATGAAGCAAAATAATATGGGCCATGATCCCAACCATGCATTGGAATTAAGCACTGCCAGGGTTTTCCTGTGGGTAACCAAAAACACACCTCAGTTTCAGTGACTGCGACATTGACTTGGCCATTTGTGAAGGTTTCAGGATTGTTTGTTCTCTCAAGTCAAAGATCTACTGAGCCTCTGGGAAGAGGGGGGTGGCCATTCACGGTGCTGACCTCACTGTCAGGCCGCACTGACCTGTGTGACCCTCGGAGGGAGCTGTGTGATGTGACAAGACTCAGTACATCTTTTGATGGGCAAAATATGTTCTCAATCCTTTGGTGCTGGCCCAGCAAGGTGGCCCATAAACAGTTGTTTATTATATGCACTGTCAGATCTTTGCTCTGTCAATAAAACTTGAAACAACTGGGCAATAAGAATGGTTGTGACTTGTATTGATTTTTCAAAGAAGGGTGAAGTTAGGTGACAACTGAACTTGGAAATAATAAGTTCTCACTGACCTCAATCAGATCTTCAAATAAAAGGCAGCTCACGTGCTCAGGTCATTTTGAGAGAAATGCAATTACAACTCAAAACTTGTAATTTAAAGGTAAGTTTACTATCTAATCAAAACATATGGCCCCAATAAGATACTTTTTAAAAGCAAATACTTGCTACCATACATGAATATGCCATGTTATTTTTCAGTATCAAGCATTTAGGGTTTTTTTTTTTTGTTTCCTGCTTAGAGTGAGCACTGTAGGAGTATGTCTGTACTTTCTCTTTTAAAGACTACGTACAGATAGTTCCATCGTTCTTTTATTTGATGAGACATTTTCCCGCCACCAACAGCTCCTGATGACTAGCAAAGCAGGGCCTCACTTCCTTCTACTGTCCTGTCACTCATGGTCACACCTGCTAAAGGCATAGAATGGAACTGACACTCTACATCTGTTTTGACTGCTTCCTTGTTGCAGGTGAGTGAAAGATCTTGTTAAATTCCTGTACTCTACCCAATCATGACGTATTTGGTAACTAAATCTTTGCATGCTTCTGTCACTTTTTCTTTAAGACACATTACTTGAGCATTGAAGTGAAGCATCAAAGGATTTTTGATTTTTGATTTTTGATACACGCTTGAGATTTTTGTTTGATAAGACCAAGTTACCCACCCAGACGGTTTCTAGCCATCTACACCTTGACCAGCAGTGATTGACATCCTCTCTCTCTCTGTTCCCTAGATAATATTAAGAAATTCAATTTGGTAAAAACAATCGCCTTAGTTTCTTTTGCGTAACTTGCCCTGTCAGTCTCTCAGGAGCCGAGTGGCCTGGCGGGAACAGCAGCGATGAAGAGGAGTGACCGGCTCGGGACTGAGTTGGGAGGGAGGAACAACAGGATTGGCTGACAAGTCTCTAGGTTATATTATGATAGAAGGAAGAGGTCACATATCCCTGCAACTGGAAAGGAATATTACTGCCACCTGTTTTTTAACTGGGGTAGAAGAGAATTCACCTAATCAGGCGCTACATTCCGTGCACCTGAGCCCTTATTAGCTGCTCTAGGATTGATGCAAATTCCAACCAAGCAGTCTGTGACTGAGGCTACTTGGTCTACACTCAGTCTCCAGGATCCACGTGGGTCCTGCCTGCCCCTCAACCTTTAGGTTTCCCAGGGTTATGCTAACTAATCTCCATCACCACCAGGATGCAGTATTATGATCTGCTGCCTCCTGTGGGCTCCTCAGCGGCCTGCTCTCCCCTTGCAGGAGATAACCAAAGGCGGCCCAGGCATGCAGAGCGGCCTCTGACTCTGAAGCCCTGTCAGCCTGTCCTTCTCTCTCTGCCGGCAGTCAAGACAGCGTGGTGGTAAGCAGTCAACTCTCCTGTTTTTGTGTGCAGTATTCCTGCCTCCTTCCCAACGTCCGAGTCCTCGCACCCCGGCAAGGCTCCCTTCCACTGGACCGCTCCCCCCAGGCACCGCTGGTGGCACCTTCAGCAGCTGGGCCACCCCCTGTCCTGGCGACTGTCTGGGCTTCACATCCCACCTAGAATGGGTCCTCCTTACCAGTCGGACAGTGAGTGAGCCAGTCCCCAAACCGCACCCAACTGCCTGCCCCCTCAGACCTCGTCCGTCACAGCCATGTCAGTTGTGGCCTCTAGCGGCAAACCCCAAGACACAATGGGAGGTGCAAGGAATGCACTGGGGGCGCCTAGGCCGCTCAGCCAGAGGCCACTGGAAACACAGCTGCAGTGGAGTCGCTGGGTTTATTCCTTGCTGCATAGAGGGAACATGGTCATCACGCTGGGGCTTCTCGATGGGTCTTAGAACCTATTTTAAGATTCTGGCATTGGGTCATTTCAAGGGGTCTAAGAAGGCAGGGATGCACTCTAGACTGGATGCTGTCAGGAGGTGGGCGCAATTCTATGACTACGTTGTTAAATCTTATCTACAGGGAGCGTAGACGGGGGTGAGGAAAATGCTGTAAATGGTTAAAAGAAAAAAAGGTCACTGATTTTTGTCATGAGGGAATTTGGTTATTTGGGGGTTGGCACAGTGACTTGTTTCTTCAGACAAAATTACAAAGTGGTCTCGGCTCTACTTCATCACGGTCAGAACCACTGAGGTCAGTGCTGTGAGACTGCGTCCAGCAGGAGAACAGGGCCCAGCAGTGCGGGGTCAGCGTCCGGAAGTCGGGACATGCGTTCCGACCCCCGTCTCAGGGGAAGCACCTGTGGAAGAGAAACGGGAGAGGAAGCAGAAGCCAGGAGGGGCCTTGGGACTAGGAAGCAGGGCTGACGACGGTGGAAGGCGGCCAAGGTTTGGGCAAAAGAGCTGTGGGAAAGGTCGGGCTGGGGGAGCTGCAGCGCACGGGCCGCCCACCTGCGGAGACCTGCGGGAGGCAGAAACGCCCTGGCCCCAGTACCCGCGGTGGGCGGGGCCGCGCAGGGAAGAGCGTGGCTGCAGCGGCCCCGAAGGCGGGAGCTTCGGTAACCGCGTTCCCGGGCACAGTCTCCCGGAGAAGCTGAGCGGCGCTCCTCTGCGGCCCCCGGAGGCCCGGGACCGGACAGGAACGCGGACGTTGAGGGGCCGTGTAGGAGAGGAAGCAGAACAGGAGAGGTGTCTTAAAAGAGGAGTTCAAGTAAAGGTTGTGTCCATTCGCTACGGCCACTGCGAAGTGGCTGGTGACCGTCACCAGCACAGCGGTGGTCACACGGGGGTGGATGGCAGCCTGGAGTAAGGAGGGAGAAGCGGGGGCTGGAGACTGGAGGAGGGGCGGCCACTCGGCCCGGCGGGGGGGCGGGGGTGGGGAAACGCAGGAGGCCCAGGACTCCCGTGCGCAGTGCTGAACGCCCCGGACCTGGATGACGCGGGGGCCGAGGGGTGAGCCCTAGGGACGGCACCTGGCCTGGGACCGAACACTTGTGGGTGCGGTGGTCATACCCAGGCGGCACCTCGGCAGATGGAACAGGAGAAAAGGCGCCCTGGAGGTGCGGGCGCGCTTCCCATGACGGGAGTGGGAGGGTGCGGGAAATCCCAGATGTTGGCTTTTAACTTGCCCCCTGAAGGAGGGTCTTCTTGATCATCAACCAGCAAGATGTCATTTAAAATGAAGAGATACTTACAGACAGACAAGATTAAAAATTTATTTTCCAGATTTTCTGAATTTAACAAAAAATGGCAGTAACTGATACATTAATTCAAAATATTTTCACTAAGCACCAAGTTAACTTTTTACCAAGAACCTCATTATTGAAAAATGCTTAAAACTTAAGTTTGTTTAGGTCTTTAATGAAGAAATCTAAAGCTGCCAATTAAGATTCTAATTAGTGGGAGATGACCAGGTTGACAACCCTGAAGTCATAGAATGTGAGAAAAAACAGTTTTTAAAAGCTGTTTAACCCACACATTTTCACTGAGGGGATTCAGTGGCCACCAGCTGTACATCATACACAGACAAAAATGGGTAACAGTGCTCTGCAAAAACTATCAATAACAGATGACCTCTATATACCCAGAGCCTCATGAGAGGCACAGGGACAGATACAAGTTACTAACTCTCGAGGGAGCGCCAAGCAAGGCTGGCAGGAGACAGGGAGCCCTGTGTCCTGGCGGTGCCGCAGAGAAAGCATTGCAGGTGCCAGGGACCAGGTAGCAGCCAGGCCAGACGGCACCATCAGCGGGTGTCGCTGTGTGTGGGGAGGGGCCTTCAAGGATGGAGAAAGTACAGTGAGACGAGAAACCAAGCCCCAGGGGTACTGCCTGCTCAGAAGACAGTGGAGTGTGAAGAGATGCAACCTAATCAGAGACTAAGTAACCAAGACAGGAAAGAAAGCCGAATTCAGGGAGCCAGACGCTAAAACGCCTTCCCAAACGTGCTATTTGTGGAGGGTAAGCCACGGAGGGCCACCCTGCAGGCCTCTCCACACCCCGAGGCCCCGTTCCTCGGAATCAGCGTTGTCCATTAGCCAAAACCTTCCTTACTGGAAAACTTCTGCTCCAAGAAAGTAAAACACAAAAAACACAAGCAAACAAAACTCCAAAAGAGACTATCACGGTGAGCTTTAGCCCCCTTCCCCTCTGCCTAAGTCTCGTCACTGAGGGCAGGGGGGTGTATTAAACCAATTCATTAATGCAAAACATAAAAAAAATCAGCATATCACTGCTCCTACTACATTCCCCCACCCGAATAAGTAAACAAGCTACACACAAAGTATAAACTTCCCCCAACTAGGAGTCAACATCAACTCAAGGATTCCACTACAATGTTACTGCACTCACTCAGGACACTACAATCCTCTTCCGGCCCAAGTACAAAATATATCCCTTACTCTGAGGGCTCTGGAAGCATTACAAACATTGCTGCATTAGATTCCTCTTTTTGAGGTAGTTCAGAGTCTTGAAACATGGCAAATGTACATATTTTTACAAACTAGCACAAGGGCAGGGGGTGGTAGTTAACATAAAAGACCTAAACCCAAATCCTCACCCTCAGATTCACAGATCCTATCATACAAGTTGTTTTTCCCTCAGATGATACAAACTCATATAAAACGGGAAACAGATTGAAAGTTACACAAAAATTTAAAAAATAAAAACAAGCAGAAAAAGGAAACAAAAAGCAATGTTAGCCAGGCTATGGTGCATTCTACAAAGTATAAAAAAGTAAGAGCTTATAAAAATAAGAGGAAAATGTAGTGAAAGCATTCGACTAGAGTCATCTCATCCTCTGGCGGAGTGGTTCCGAGAGGCCACGCCACCCAGAATGGGAGCCTGGCAAGAACCACCGAGCTTGCGGGACGTGCACGCCAGCTGACTGTCACACCAGCTGCCCCTCAGGTTTGCTTCATGGGTGCGGGGATATTAGCGGACGCCTGCTCCAGGTAGGCCAGGGAGCCCTGAGGGATGTCAGCCGGCTTCTTGTGCTGCCCGTTGACGTCCTCCAGCACCTGCTGCCAATGCCGCAGCTTTGTCAAGTGCTTCTGGACTAGAGCATCTTTCCGCTGTAATTCGTTCCTCAGCTCCGAGACATCCTACAAATGAAAGTGATCACGTCAGAGAAAACTCATGAAAAGGGACTATAGTTCCTGAATAATTAAGAGCACTAAGAAGTAAATTCGGAACAAAGAAAATCTATTAAACAAACTAAGCCCATTATTCGGCTTGGCTCCACTATTTGAACAACTCACTGCAACTCTTCCAATGGCAGATGTCTGCCTAACACTGACAGCTTTTAGAGTTAAGTACCCAGATTACAATATTCCAAAGTATCCAAGAGCAGCCAAAAGAAGCCAGTCTACCCCCCTGCCTGGTCCCCAGCACTCAGTGTCTCTGTCCAAAGGCTGCTGCGGAGCATCTCGGCCACTGAGACTCTGAAACACATGGTAACAGCCATTTAAAAGAATCCACGACCACTGTCCTACCCACTCAGCTTATGAAGTGTTAAAACTTCATTTTCAAGAGCTTTTTAAATGAATACTAGCATCATAATTCTTTAGCAAGACCTGCCCTGAACACACCTATGTTACTACTCAGATATTCAAATCGGAACACGATCTGATAGGATGAAGTGTGAGAATATCCCTCACCATTCACCTTCTCCACAGTTGATATCGTTGAATAAAAAGAACATTTTTAATTGGTGAGCTTGCGGGAGCAGTTACTTTGAAAACGGCCCCCGGGGTTTTGTGTTTCTCGTTAGCGGCACCACTGGCCTGTTGGGCAGGACGAGTCTTCCCTCTCCCGCGGCAGGGGTGGCCCGGCCCAGCCCGCTCAATGCCCCCGAAGCTTTCTAGTTGCTGCAGCAACCCCAGCGCATGTCCAAATGCCCGGGTTTCAAACAAGTGAGAAATGAAACCCTGAGCTTCCGAAGCCTGGGGGAGAACATGAATTTCTGATTCATTGAACACAATTTGACAAAGCCCTTCCAGTGTATATAGCGCTGTGTAAGGCAACTGGGATACGAAGATCACAGTTCTGGTCCAGAATGGGCTTTCCATCTACACTAATGGCTTTTCAACCCTTTTCAAGCAGCAGAACCTCTCCTTTAAGAAAAATCATCCATGAAAACCAGTACATGAAACCGCTGCTTGAAGCCCTGCTTCCCTACCGCCTGCTCCTCCACTCCTTGTCCAGGGCGGCACAGACACTACTGACAACCAGCAACATTCCTTCTCAATCGGTAAAGCCCTCCTATGAGAGGAAAGGGGTTTTCATTTAAGCCATTTAAAGCACAGACGGTCTCCTGACAATACAGGCTCTTCCTAAAAGTCGGGGAGAAAATGGAGCTCATACCTCTTTGATAACCTGCTCTGGTTTCTGGACAGATAACTGCAATCTTTTTTGTAGAAAAAAACATTCTGTCTGTCTTGCAATATCCAGAAATTTCTGGATACACTGATCAACACCTTAAAAAAGAACAAAACCCAAAATATTAAATCAAGATAAATGCTAGACACAAATCCCTCCGTAATACATGAACAGTCAGAATATCAAAACATCGCCTTCTCGTAGATGTAACCCGGGACTTTACTCCTGGCCACCCCAACTGTAGTGACCCCTGGCTCTCCACGTGTTAATCAACATTACACAGCAGATAGCTTGTTCTTTTATCAGCTGAATAAGAGACCTTACACCAAGTTTTTTGCAGACAGACAATCCAGAGTTGCAGCAAGTAGCATGACTGTAGTTAAAATGCAACACTGAAAATACAGTACAGAGTCAGAAGCACTGGACATGCCCCAGGAGAGAACTTGGGCGAGGAGGAGGAAGCACAGGAGACTGTTAGCCTATTCAAAAAGTAATCAAAACTTGTTTTAAAAGCAGTGCACACTATTGGTCTTTTTTGTCCTAATACCACTATGAAAAGCTCATCACAGGTGGTTCATTATGAATGACATAAGATGTCAATTAATAAACTGAACAGAGAACCAGCAGTATACAGACGTGATCTGCGCAAATTTTATTTCACAGAAAAGTTCTCTGAGGATACCAGCAGGACTGAAATATATCAAGTGTAAAATCAGCAATCAAGAATCTTGCTCAAGGCAAGAACATTGTCTAAAAAGAGGGAATTCTTACCAGTTCGAATTTCTTCCTGATCAGTGCCATTCACGTACTCCTGACTTACCAGAGACGCAAAGCAAGCCTGTTTGATCAAAACATAACACAGAGAAAAAAAAGTCACTCCCATGTCAAAAATCTTACTTCAGAGTAAGGAATAACTTCTCTTGAAGTTGTTCAATGAGTTGCTAGCTTCTGGGCTGCACCCCAAACAAGACATCATACCAATGAAGAAACTCGTAACCCGGCCGCATGAGGTGCGCGGAGGGAGAGCCAGGGAAGGAGGCAGCTGGAACCGCTAGCAGTGCATGTGTTCTCGCGCCTGCCACTCGCTCCTCTCCCCGCTGTCCCACTCCACACCAGGGCCTGGACCCTTATTCCAGTCCTACTCGTGGCCCCTCCCTCCAATGTCACATGACCTGTATCACCCATTCAGGCCTCAGCTCAGTCATGACCTGCTCGGGAGACCACCGCTCTCTGCTCCTTTGAAATGGCACCCTTCCTGCTCAGGCTCTATCTCCAAGCCCAGTTTTGTTGTTCTGCACACAGTTAACCGACTTCATTCCACTCTTCCAGTCCAGTGTTAGCGGCCCCCTCCTGGCAGGTGGGAAGCGTGTCTTGTGCACTGTGCGCCTAATGCAGCAACACCACTTGGCACACAATAAACACGTGCTAATGACCGACCGGCCAGCTCAAGAGAACGAGGTTGGCGTCATGTGGATAAACAGGCCCCAGAGACGGAGTTCTCCCTAAAGGGACAATGATCCAGATGTCTATGAGACTCAGCCAGGGAGGTCCACAGACAAAGGAAGCCTAACAAAGGGCAGTGCGGCCAGGAAGAGAACTGGACGGGAGCTGGGGGAGCGGGTCAGACAGGGAGCCCGGCCCCCAGGAAAGCAGAGCCGTGCCAGCAGCAGGCACACCACATCTGGCACAAGGCAAGGAGACCTGGGCCCAAAGTCAGGCCATCGGCCAGATGTGAGGACCCTCTGCCCGCAGTTGCTGCCATTTGATTTATAGAGAAAAACCACAGGATTCCAGCGTGTCCCCCCACCCCCGCCCCGGGGCAAATCCCTGTAACTGCTCCATAAATCAGAAAAAACAGGCTTCCCATTCTGTGTAATGCTCTGAAAGATGACTCCTTTTGGATTTGGGACATGAGGCGGGTGGCCCTGCTCGGGGAACCTGTGGCTACTGGACAACATCCCGGCCAGGATGTCAACCAGTCCCACGCTGCGGATAGCTGGGCTGCTCCCCCAGCGCCAGCAAGGCCACCAGCTAGGGTGGGAGGAAACCTGATGGCAGGAATCTTAGTATCCTCATCCCCCTTAAAAAAAATAAAATAAACACAGACCTTTATAAAGAGGTGCGTGGAGAAGCAGCGCGCGGCCAACTACAAAAAGGTTATGACTGTTAGCATATGTCACACACAGAGCCTTTGCCTGGAAAGTCAGGAGGCCTGAGTGGTGGGCCCCTTTCCACACACGGAGGGTCTGGCCAGCCATCCCCCCTCGGAGCCTCCGCCTCTCCATTGGTAAGGGAGGGCATGCTCTCCAGGGTTCCTCCCACAACCAGCGGCACGGTCTCGATAAACGCACTCCATCAGAAAGCACTGACAAAGCAATTGATCGAGCAAGTCAGAGACCTCAGGGGAGCACTGGAGGAGCAAAGAAGAGCGGGCGAGCAGTTCCTGAGCCACGGGAGGCTGTGGAACAGAGGTCCGTCCACCCCCCCCCCCCCCCCCCCCCCCCGCAGGCCGCAGCAGGGGAACCGGAAATGAGCACGGGCCTTGAGCTGAGTCTTGACAGGAGCCTGGGGGTCGCTCACCCAGCGCCAGAGGAGGGTCCAGGCAGCACCTCTCCCCCTGCCATGTAGCTACTGAGTCCCGGTGCCCTTTTGGGTTTCAGTTCTCTGGAAAGCCTCGTCTGACAGCCACGCCCTTACAGGATTCCAGGTTTCTTCTGTCAGAGCATCGACCCTCAGCTCGGCCACTGCCTGCCATTTTTATCTGTTCCTCCCACTGTGCTGTCATGAGCTCCTGGGAAACAAGGACTGGTTTCTCTGTGTCCTTAGCACTCAGGACAGGGCCTGACACACAACAGCTTCCTTAATGGTTTGACAAATATTCACCAAGCATTTGCTCTATGCCACCATTGTATTAGTACTACTGATAAAATGGGAGAAAAGGTGGGGTGTCGGGGGGGGCGGGGGGTCTCTGACGTCCGGGAGCCTGGTCGGGGTTGGTGCTCCGAAGGTGCCAGGGAAGCGGCACTGAGGAAGTGATGTGTGAGCTGGGGGATGGGACCTGGGATCCCACAGGGAAAACATACGGCGTTGGCAGGAAAAGTCTTGTGTGGCCAGAGTAAGAAGAGATGGCTTCAGAGCTGAGTCTTGAACATGCAGTACTGGGGAAACCTCAGCAAACCTCCCGGTCTCATCCCGAGTCACAGCTGGACACCAAAGGGTTTTCAAGCATTAGGGAGCTGGGGGTCAGCTTTGGCCAAGGCTTCTCCAGGGCCAGTCCTTCCGCAAGCGCTCACCAGTGAGAGCCGCCGCAGCTCAGTGCTAGACGCCGCTGCAACGCCTGCCTGTCTCTCCTTCACCGCTGCCCGCCTTAACTCAGTTCTCTCCAAACTTCCGAATGCGCACTCCATCAGCACAGGCATTCTGCGATGCTTCCCCAACAATGCAACCACCTGCAACCTCACCACGTACTATCGTGCTATCACATAGGCACTGTATAAAACCCACCTGACCAGGACTTAAAAAGGTGAAAAAGTCACTCCAGTTAGAAGTTATTTTATTTCCACACACTAATGGCTCAGCTTCCCCTTTAGACAGGACACGGGAAGGAACCAAAGCACGCACTTTTATCTCTCCTTTGTTTACTATCATTTCCCATCTTCGTAGCTACAGGGTACACTTTTTGGGCCAAACTCTTATTTTGGATCATTTCTGTCTGCCTCCCTTCCGCCCTGACCCCCGGCTTTCCCCCTCCCTTGGCCCTCCCGGCCCTTAGTACTGAGTTCCGCACAACTTTTAAGTCCATTTCAGCTCCAAGATTCTCATTACTTCGTAAGACCGAGAAAGAGTGGAGCCCAGCGGTAAGGTGTGCTGCGGAGGGGTGGGAAAAGGAGGTCAAAGGCGGAAAAAGAACAGCCCGGGACACGAGCAGTTGGCTGAGAACCTGGAACAGGGACAGTGAGAACTCCAAGCCCACGTGCCACCAGAAATGTCAAGTTGATGCACCTCCGCCAGCAGACCGGAGCGAAATACTAGTCACCACTCACTGGGGAGACTAAGAAGTCCTTACATTCCCTGAGGCAGCTTCCCCATTTGTAAACCGGGTGCGGGATTTCTGAAAGAGAGAACCTGCGCGTGCGCAGCTCACATTTCAGGAAAGAAGGGAGGCTGGGCACAGACGCCCCTCTCTCCTTTTACCTCGAACGATGACTCCAGCTCATCCACCAAGGTACTCGGAGAAGATCTCGGAGCCCCTGGCGCGGCCTGAAGAAGCGAAGCCTGGCCCGGGAGTCCCTGCGGCGGCGGCGGAGGTCCGGGGGGCTGCCCGGAGAACATACCTCCCAGCGGAGCCGCCATTTCTGAAGTGGCGAGTAGAAGCCCACTGAGCTTGCGCAGCAGCTGGCGCAACACGCGTTCACGTCACGTGACGTTAGCAATCACGTGACGGCTCTGAGCGTCGGGAGATTGTCTATTGGGCGTCCGGGAAACCGAATGTTTGATGTGCGGGTTGCCTTCTCCTTCCCAGCGCGCGGGGTTCTTGGCTTTTACTTTTACTTTTCTTGGGGCTTGTGGGCTTTGACTGGTTTTGGCACAGTTGTGTGGAGAAGATCAGTAAATACGTTTGGACTGAGCCCACCCTCAGGCTGCGCTGGGCCTGACTGTTTCCTTAACGCTTGGAGTGACTTTGGCTAAGTCTGTCTCCGGGTGCGGTTTACCCGCGGCGCGAGGACGGAGGCACCCGCTCACTCCAACATTAACTGACAGTTTACGGTGCACCGATTATTAATCCAGTCACTGAATATAATTATTTCTGGGGAGAGAGACAGGTAACAAAGACCACTTAACATCGTTGAGACTCCCTACCTGTGTGGCTGGCACTGTTTCTGTTAGATAATAATTCTCTCAAAGAGTCTCTATGTTATTATATTAATAACTTACTTTTAACACTTACTTACTTATCGTTTTGGAAGGTAAATATTTTTATTATATTTAACTTTACAGGCAGATATGTGATAATGCGGCGCATTTATTGAGGCCTCCATGTGCCAGGTACTATTTAACGACTTGCGTGTTGTAGCGATCACTCCAAGTCCCTGCCCTCGTGTTTTTGTGGGAAAGAGACAAACACATAACTATTAAGATACATAGCAATATCATGTTGAGATAAGTGCTAAGACAAAAAAAAAAAAAGAAAGAAAGAAAGAAAGAAAGAAAAAGAAGTATCCCCGTGAGGGGATTGCTAGTGATGGACTTGAGAGAGGTGGTTGGAAAAGGCCTTTCCAGGGAGATGCGTCCTGGAGTGACTGGAGAGAAAATTGAACTTGGAAAGCTTCTTAGACAGAGGGGTCCCCAAAGAAGGAGCCTGCCTGATGGGTTTAAGGAACCACAGAAAAGCCAGCAGGGCCAGAGTGAGGGAGGCGGGGCAGTCGCAGGTCAGATCAAAGGTCATCTTCCTAGCTTCCCTCTTAGACCCAAACTCTCAGCCGCTGCCCTGTTTTCTATTTTTTTTTAATTCAAGATTTTGTTTATTCGTTTTTAGAGAGAGGGAGCGAGGGAAAGAAACATCAATGTGCGGTTGCCCCTCATGCGCCCCCAACTGGGGACCTGGCCCACCACCCCTCGGGCATGTGCCCTGCCTGGGAACCAAACCGGCTGACCTGTTGGTCTTCAGGTGGCGCCCGGTCCTCCGAGCCACACCAGCCAGGGCCGCCCGGTTTAATTTCCTTCACAGCGCTTAAACATCATCCGCAATGGTTTTGTTTGTGGTGTTCATTGACTAAGTTGCCTTGCACACACGCCCACACCAGCTGGGATGCAAGTTCCGCGAGATCAGGGCCTGCCTTCCCCATGTGTATTCCCAACACCCAGACCTGTGCCTACCATAAAAGAGACATCATAAATGTCGCTTGCCAGGAGGGAACTGGTCTGCTTCAGCAGTTCTCAAATGTTTGGGTCTCAGGATCCTTTGTGCTCCAAAAACTGGGGCCTCCACCTCTTTTTGTCTACGTGGATTATGTCAGCCAATGTTTACCTACTCAAACAGACTAGGTAGAATAGGTACCTATTAATTAAAACTGAGACTTTAAAAATGTATTTAAAAACTTACTACATATTCATATAAATATTATTTTAATTAAAAGTAAAAATTTTCCCAAGCCAAAAATAAGTTAGAAGAGTGGCAGCATTTTACTTTTTTGCAAATGCCTGGCTGAAAAGATTGTACGTATCTCATGTTTACCTAACTATGAGTAAGTTGCCAGAGACAGTGGTCCGTAGCACTTCTCTTGGATTCACCCCAGAGAAGAGCCCATTTGGATTTTGCCGAAAACACATTTCCTTGTTTAACAAATGGCAGAACACTGCCTTGGAAAGATCACTGAGAGAGAGAATGTGTGTACGGAGTTGAATACAGTGGCTGACATAGATTGAGTACTGCTGAGAAAAGGCAAGTGACATGATGTGATTTATTTAAAAATGGTCTCCCCCAGGTATAGGAACAGAAGGTAAGCACGTGAAGGCAGGACCAATAAGGCAGTGATCTAGAACTCTGTTAAGCCACACACAGAGAGGGTTGTGACTTGTACAACACTAGGGCAGTTGAGGCAGAAGGCCGAGGTGGTGAGATGTGGTCAGATAAACTTCATGACTGGCTTAGGAAAAAAGCCAGCTGTTTGGGAACGGAATATGTGATGGCACTTGTTGATCACGACTTACGTGAAGGGTTTAGGCTACCACTTCCCCAGGATTACGATAAAGGGAGTAGCCCAAAGTTCAAGAGTGGCAGAGCTGCAGCCATGGAGTGCGGCAGGCGGTAGAGAAAGGACCCAAGGAAGTGGTTAGGCTGATACTGTCTAACTGACCTACCAAGTGACAGGGCGTGGTTCCAGCACTCTCCTCCCTTCTGCCCTAGACTGTGATGCTCCTAAGGGCAGGGACTACATCTTGTCTGCTTGGCCATGCCAACTGCCTGTGCAATGCCTGGCACAGGTTAAACGTGGAATAAATGTTGGCTGGATCAAATTCTTCACTCCGAAACACCAACACTTCCTGTTTCCATGACTGTGCAGGGTACAAGAGCATTTTTGTATTTACTGTGCTGTAAACTTAAAATCTTTTAACTGTCAAGATTTCATCATTTCCTATCCCATTGCCTCCTTTCTCAAGCATTCGTTCAACCAGTACTGACATTCTGTGCAATGAGCAGAAACACAGTGAGAGGGTGCCTCCCGTCACTGCACTTATAATATGCGCAGTCCCTTTACAGCAAGCTTGGATACCGCACTGTATTCATGATGCTTCTTGTGCTCAAGGCCATGTGTTGGGTTGCGGATGCTGGGCTTTGAGATCCATTGATCTGGGTTCTCACCTTTTTCCTACTTTCTAGTTCAAAAACATTAGCAATTTACTGCTCTTGAGATTTAGTTTCTTCATCTGTATATGTCACAGAGATTGTTACCAATCTCCTGTGTCTTCTGCCTTTTTTCATCAGGGTGACAAGTGTACCCAGAAAATCTTCATCTCCCCAAATCATTGGTGGTAACATGGCTTACGCCGGTTGATGATATAAGCACATTATGTGGGACTTCAGTGAAAGCTTTCAAATGTGTTAATGGTTGTCCTGGCTGGTGTGGCTCAGGGGACTCAGCGCTGACGTGTGGACCGAAAGGTTGCCAATTCAGTTCCTGGTCAGTGCACATGCCTGGGTTGTGGGACAGATTCCGGTCGGAGGCATGTGAGAGGCAACTGATCAGTGTATCTCTCATGCACTGATGTTCCTCCCCCTCTTCCCCACCTTCCCCCCATCTAAAAATAAATAAAAAAGTATTAAAAATAACTAAAATGTGTTAATGGCGATGCACCCCCTTTGCCCTGCTCCCTTTCCTCATTTTCATGTAGCCTTCAACCCCCCAGCCACCTGGGACTGAGGCCGTGAGGGGGACGCTGAGCCTGGGCGCTGCTTGAGTTTTGGATTCCTCACTCTACCTTTTACCACTCTTGTTCGAAACCGCTGCTGTTTGGGATGTGCTGCTCTCCACCGCCATGCTTAGCCCTCACTGCAAGAGATTCAGGTGAGACCACCCGCCTCGGATCTGGGCTCTGAGATCAGCCGAGGGTCTGTGAAATACCTGGCAGCCAGCTGCATGGGAATCAACCAGATTAGATAAGCACGCGACTGGAGGGCCGTGCCCAGCCTTTTGTATCACATAATCTAGAAAACACAGTAGTTCTATTGTTCCTTTATTTATAAAAGGCCTTTGATAGAAAGCCTTCCGTCATACCCCTACTTGGCCTTCTGAATCACCCAGAAGGAATCTCAGTGGTTTTTGTTCGCTTTCACAAGTGGATAGTTTCACTTCCAATTTCATCTCTTCTGGATGTGAAGACCTGGAGGAACATGTTTACTCACTATTCCTGCCTGACTTTAATTCTAATAACACAAACACGCACAGCTACTTCAATGACCTCTCTATCAACCAGTTTAGACATAAACAGTATCTTCTTAGATGTCAAGTTTTTAAAATACTAAAAACAACTCAATATTAAGAGCTTTTCCTGTCGATCTTTTCAGTCTTAAAAAAAAAAGGCAGCCATCCTACTCATAGGTAATTTGATTCCCTCCATACAAAAATGAAATAGAAGAAAGCTGTCTTTCCTTTATTGCACAAATGGAATTTTGTTGACTGGTGGTAGTACCAGAGGGTAAGCAAATAGTTTACCTATTAACAGCCCCTTTGTGGTCTCATTTCAGTACTTCAGATAAATTCCACATTCAAGTCACTGAACTGAAAGGAAGGATCACAGTGTAAGCAGAACAGCAGCTGGAGGCAGACTGCGTGGGTCTAACTCTGCTTTCCTACTCACTAGCTTGTGACATTGCTGGCATGTCAATACCTCCTCTGTGCCTTGCTTTCCTAATCCGTCCTGTGGAGATGATAGTGCCCACATCGCAAACAGGTAAGGTCATCACGGAATGATCATTAACACTGAGAGAATATCTGTATCACTGTGCCTCAGCTTAGTTCGCACAACAAAGCCAGAAGAGATGAGTGACGGTAGAGCAGTCGCTGGGTTTACAGTGTCATGCGATGTAAGGAAGTACCAGAGCCACACCGGGGAGCACCAGAAGCTGGATTTATTGTTTCTGACAACTGCACAGCAACTTGTAGTTTGTTTATGTTCCTAGGATCACAAACCTGAAATACAATTTTGCTCCTCAATTAAAAACATGTAGTCCGAAAAGTGATTAGGTAGTTTTCAAAAAATTCAATCCATTTATAGGATATCTTAAAAATCTTTGCCAAGCAACATACTAGCTTTCTATTTTACAATCTCTGCATAAAAATGAAAAAACAAACCCAAGGCATACAAATTTCATTTTGTTCTACATTTTAAAATACCATCATTTGTTTCCTTTAAAAGGTTTTTATCCATTGCAAAATATTTTGAAGCTCAACTGCCCATTTAAGACAGAAAAAGGAGCTTTCAGTAGAGTGTCTGCACTAAGCACTGTCTTGACTGAACCGAACCAAGAACTCTATCAGAGTCCTCGTGGGCCTCCCAGTCATGCCTTTGCACAGATACGAAATCTCATCTTTGTTGGTCATCACACCTGCGATGTCTAAATGTGCCCACTTTGGATGAGTCACAAATTCTTTCAGGAACGCTGCAGCTGTGCATGCTCCAGCGGATCTGAAAAGAGACAGAAATCATTGTTTTACCCCATGTAAATGTGCATGGAACGTTTTATTAAGACACTCCATTCTTGCTAAGTAGATTCTATGACCAGAGAGCAAAAGTCAAGCTTATGAGACCTATTAATAAGTTAACCCAGAAATCACTCCCAGATATTTATCTTCAGATATAGTTTTAAGCAGTAAAGGATAAAGTCCAAATTCCCCTTTTCCCAAGGTAATAAATTTCTATATTATCCATCTCCTTCACTTACCATTTGTCTACAATGACCTTTAGATTTGAAAATGTGTAAAATTTTGAGAACCATTTAAGAAATACCTTAAAAATTATATACATTAGAAATTAATGCTTATAACCACTACATCAAAAGAAAATTGGTGAGTTAAACTTTTTGTGAATGGGGCTAAAATTGAAAATGGTCATTCTGACAACCAACAGTGATTGCAAAAATGCACTTTAATAGCTCATTTTACATACCTATATTTTCCAATGTTATTAACATCAGCAAGCTGGCAATCCACAACCTGTCGTGTATAATGTTCAAAGAGAGGCATCCTCCAGACGCGGTCCCCTGTTTCAATGCTGGCCTAGAGGAAACAGGCACAAAGGCTGGAAGACTGGATGGCACAAGGCTTTGGGTAAGTTCACAGCACTGAACTTGGAGTGTCCAATGCAGGTAGAAGAGAGCTGTTCTGACCGATTACTCTAAAACATTAAGCTACATAGCAGATTCAGGATTATTTTATTATCAATTAAAACACTTAAGAATTTTAAAAGAAACTAAGTGTGTCGTAAAACAATCCCACAGATTTATAGAGCATTTGCTCAAATCATCAAATTAATATTAAGGGTCTCAGTTTAAATTATGGAGCTGAGTGTGTATAACTCTCACACAACCCTGAAATATGTATAGGCTGCGATGTTTGTCGCCTTGGTGAGCTGGGGGACACGAGGGGCCAGTGTTTTAACACACTGTGGTGAGAGATGAGGCAGAGAAGCGAGAAGTCAGAAAGCAGCGGTGTAAGCTGAGCGACTGTCCGGGGCATGGGCCAAGGGCTGACAGCGGCTGCCCCCGGGAAAACAGACATTCAGTTGATGTAAGCAGCTGGCAGTTATGTAAATAATGTGTGTGCACATATTCCTTTGATTTTTTCAAAGAAGCTTAAATTTTTAAAGAAACCAACAGTGTTGTGGGTGCTACGATAGAGACGCGGAGTGCATGGGAGGCCAGGCGTCTGTGGCCCACCCTGGGAGGAGGCACTGAGCTGATATCACAGGGGTGGGGAGGCGGGAGCTTCACAAATGGTGGGAAGACAAAGATGAAGACGAAGCAGTTCAGGGTGAAAAGACATTTAGCACCTTAAACCAACACCGAGAATTATTCTGGGACATTTTGCATTTGCTCCCCGCTGGCACACAGTAAGCTCCCATTAATTTCTTGTTGAGCGAATGAGGTGCCGCATGGAGCTGCCTCATAGCCAGGGGGATGCACAGGGTCTGGGGCTCAGGAGCGAGAAGGGACTTGCCAGCCAAAAGGGCTGGCTGAAGCCATGGGAATAGTTGCACTTCCTGGACGGGAACAGTAAGATGAGCATGTGGCCCGGGACTGAACGTCCACTACAGGGACAGACACAGGAGAAAGCTGGCAAAGGAGGTTGCAACAGGTCAGCAAAGGCGGGGGCCAGAGGCAACTTTCACAGGAGCCAAGATCGGGGTGTCACCAAAAGGTCACCGAGTGACATGCTGCCTTTAGATGGCCTCAGCGAGGCTGGGAGAGTGGGGCTGGCAGGGGAAAGCTGAAGGTAGTGAGGGAAAGCAAGGCGGGTGGGGACCGGGCTGGGGACTAGTGCATAGGAGGCACAGAGCAAAGCAGGCGCAGGCATCCTTATGGCCCCTGAGGAAGGACCAGCGGTATTCATTACAGGCCGCTCCTTCCTTTACAAAGCTGTCCTCGTGACCTTTTCTACCTCAGAGACTAAGGGATGGCCACCGTATTTGAGAGTCATTTTTACATTGTGAGGTTACCGGAGGGAGGAAGAAGGTGGTATCATACCCGTAATTTTGAGACACTTATAGAAAACCCAAAGCACCCCGAATTAGGTTTATTGCATTTTCAAATCAAAGGCAAATCTATGGCATAAAAATCACTTGAATACAGGCATTTAAGAAATAGATCATTCTAAGGCTAGAATAATCATCGCTCCCGTTTAGGTCTCTAGGCGTTATTCCTACCTCAGAAAGCTTGTTCCACAGCCAGGACGAATTGGTGAAGACCCCAGTGGCGCCGGACCCCAGAGCTATGTCCATGGCACCTGCAGGGCACAGCGCTCAGGTCAGCGTTCTGTCCCTTCACCCACGACGGGCTCCTCTGCCACCCACACCAAAGCTTTCCTTAAGTATTTCCCTCGTTTTCAAAAATGGAAAAGCCTAGGAAATCCTTACAGCATGTATCTTTCTAGTTCCTCACCTTCACTTTCAGTTCTTAGGGAAAAAACAAAAAAGAAAATAATATTAAATATCACCAATAATCTCATCCCAGGGAGAACCATCACATATTTTTAATATGTCCTTTCAGGTTTTTCCTAAGCTTAAAAAAAACCCTATACTTAAGGCCATACTGTACATGTCCAAGTATGTATTCTTGCTTTATGCTTTAAACATTTTCCCTCTTTTACAAGCAAATGTTTGAAAGTAGCTTTGATGATTTTAAAAGCACATTGGGTAGAAATATCATAATTTACTTACTATTGGGTATTTAGGCATCTCTAATTTTTCAATATTTTAAGTCAATCTCAGTAAGTATCTGCTAAAAGAGTACGATGACTTTTTTTTAAAAAAGTCTATTATCATCCCATTTATTGGTTTCATCTTTGTTTCCTTTCCCAACAAAGCTGTGTCTCATTGGCTGATTTCAGAAACCAAGGTTAGAGCCACCCTTTCATTCGTCACTCTGGTCAATGCACTAGCCACACACAGCGCCACAGTGATTCCGCCAACGCTCCCCCAGGAAGGGAGCAGCCCTCTCGTGTCAGCTAACCCTGCACCTTTAGGGTGCTGGATGGTATGTTTTTTCCAATAAATTACGTTAATAATTAGTTCACAGTAAGAAACTGCAAACAGTTGACAATTGAAATCACTCTTTTGACGTGGTGGCCACATGCAAACACCTGTGATTCTGTGTGACTCTACGCAACCTGGGTCTGTCTAAGTCATTTGTTCCTTCGGGTTTTGTTACTCTTTACCTCCCAGTTACCTCGCAAACCCCCACACACCTGGGCCCACCATGACCGCTGCCATCACCTGCCATCGGATGATGGTAACAGTCTTTCTAAAAAACTTACTGCGGAAAATTCAAAATACACACAAAGCAAAGGGAAGGGCAGCATGATCGGCACAGGTACCTGTTAGCCCACATCAACAATGATCAGCTCATGGGCATACGGGTCTCATCTACACCCCACACCCAACAGCTTCATTTGAAGCCAATCACAGATACTGTGATATTCACCCCTAACACACACCACTTGCAAAGCCAACAGTTACACACTGCTCCCCAGTCACTGGCCTGCCAGGGCCTCCCGGGCCCCTCTGCGGGCCCCCAGCACACTGCCGCCAGGGCCCCTGCCCGGCGCGCTCACCTCGCTGCCTCTGAGCTTAGGACTGCTCAGCAGCTTCCTGCTGCGCCGGCTCAGGACAAAAGCCCGCAACATGCCAGGGCCGGCCAGGGTCTGGTGCCTGCCAGCACGCCACCTAGCCACACCGTGCTCCTCCATCCCACTCACTGCTGCCCGTGGGTCCCCACACGCCCGTGCCCCTGGCTGCCGGACGCTTGTCCTTCCCTCCTCCACCACCCAGGGACGCTGCCTCCTTCAGATCCCAGCGCTTCTCGGACAAGGCGCCTGACCTCCCAGCCCATCAAGTCCCCGCTGCACAGGCGCTCACACTGCTTTTACCTCGGCTTCTCAGGCTTCTCGCCTGCAGCTTCAGACCTGCCAGTGAGAGGGTGTGCTGACGACCACTCTCCACTGGGCACCTCACATCTGCCCTGACCCACTCGGTCACCCCAGCCACTAACCGAGTTAAATACGTGCTGGCCGTGTGGACAGCCGCGCATCTGGCACCCACTGGATACCAGACGCCATGACTGGAGCCAGCCATTCTCTCAGCCTACAGTCCATCTACACGGCTGTGGGCAGGGGACCCACTCCGCATTGTAGGTACACACTCATCAATACTTTACTTTTGAAGTCTGTGGTATTTTCCCATACTCATTTATCCTCAAAACATTCCTATCGACCCAAAAGTCTTGTTTCAGTAAATTTATCAGAGAAAAGATGAGCACTAAATTCGAACAAGAATGTGATGTGTTTTCTTAAAAGAACAGAAAATGATAGACAAATATTTAATATAGTCCAACTGGGATCATGGCCCTAAGATGATTTCAGCACATACTTCAGAAACCCTCCTATGAAGGAGGGGCTACCATACTCCTTCTACAGGGGAGAAAACTGAAGTCTTGTTCAAAGTCACATGCTATTAAGAGGAAGGCAAGTTTTCAAATCAGGTTGTCTCTCTGAAGACTGTACTTCCCTCTGCACTGAACTTGGGGTTAGAAACTTTCTTATTCTCCCCTGTGACCCCAGCTTTAACTCAGAAGGGCCTCCGTAAGTGTTTGGGGCGCTGAAGTGAACTCTCTACAGCCTTCAGCCAGCGCAATGGCCAGGAGATCTAAAGCCTCCCCCCTCAGGTTGCCCTTGGTAACCTGGGGCCAACTTCCACACCTCAAACCCTGAGGCTGGAAATAAAGGGTGGCGCTGTGACTGCTCATTTACAGAAACGTGCACCGCCCCCGCCCCGTCACTGCCCCCGCACCTGCACCTGCACCTGCACCTGCACCTCCTCCTCTGAGCTTGAGGTGTTTGCTGAACTGAACAGGGAAACAAAAGGACCAGGAAAACACTGTAAGACAATGCCAGCTTTAAAAAGGACGCCCCAAATACATCTGCAGGCTACTGCCTGACCCACACAAACAGGTGTAAAGGGAGAGCTCTGCTGAAAACGGGGGAAGGATTTAGAACGAAGGATAAAAAAAAAAAAAGATCTGAATGTTAATCTTAGAAGAGGCACAGACAGACTGAAGCCCTAGCAGCAGAGCTATGAGGTGAGAGATGGCAGCGGGGGGCTCTGGACTGAGGTACGGCTGCTGGCGGCCCCTGAGGAAGCCATGCCCACGCTGCCGAGCCGGCGGCGTCCAGCCTGCCCTCGCCCGCGCCCTGCTTCCTGCACCCACCACAGGCAGGTGCTGGGTTGTGGGGGGCCTGCCGACACGCCCTCCCCCCTGCACAGCTCTGCCCTCAGACTTGCCCCAGGCAGTGACGCTCAAGGGGTCCTGTAAGCTGCCCAAGGCTGACACAGCAGTGAGTGGCACGGCTGCACGCCGCCCCGGGGCTGGCCTTAGCACCAATGCGCTTCACACGCACACGACTCCGGCCTGCCCCTGTTAAAGGAGAATCTTGCCCCCTCCAAAAGGTTTTTATTTCCATGTCACTCTGGAAGGGCTGATCTGACCCACTTGTTATTTCTTGTTCTAAAGCTACAGCTCGTCATGTTTTAAAACAACAAACCTAGTACTCAAAGCAGTTTACAACAGCGGCACAGCTCCTCTGGTGAAAAGTGCCGAAACGCAGAGGGAGCCAGGCATGAGTGCAGCCCGACGTGAGCGCAGCCCCGCCCGAGCACAGCGGAGCTCTAGGCCAACCCAGGAGACTCCCTTCACACAAAGGCAGGCCATCTGACCTGTTAGGGTGGCCGCATCGATGATGACCTTGGGGTTAAAGGTGTGTGCGTAGAAGAGCGCATCAGCCAGGATGAGTCTCCCCTCGGCATCCGTGTTATCCACCTGCAAAGAGAAGAGCAAGATAGAAGGTCAGCTGGCCCAAGGAATGGATATCAAAACGGGACACTCACAGCAACAGTCATTTCAAAAGTGAGGAAAAGCTGGTGTGATGCTTGTCACTGAGCACCAAAAACACGCTGATGCTTCAGTTGGAATGGGGATGTAATTAAACTGAATGGCAAATACAATTCACTGACACCTTTACCAGAGCTGATGGCTTTGGAAGCTGAAACCAATAGAAAATGTCTGGTCCCCTTCACCAAGAAGTTTCTAACAGAAGGGGGGAAATTTCAAGATTTCTGAAAACAAATAAGCTGAAGGGTTTAAGGAAGTTATAGGACGGTGGCAGCCTAGCCGCCCAAACACAAGGATGCTGCCGCTCCAGCCACTTTATATACAGGGTGTTCCCTCCTTGAATGTGAGGCCCGGTTGCCATGGGAAGCGTGTGCAAGCACATGCTCCGGCCGAGGACCCGCTGCCTCGTCCCCAGCAGTGCGGCGCCCGTGACTCAGGACAGTGTCTTCCACCGGAACACCGGCATGGACAGAGCTAATCATGGCACTGGTGCATTCACAAGGCAGCCCGCACTTCCGCTCTGCCATGCTCAGCAGGGCTCGCTGCAAATCCATGGTGACGTGCGTATACGGCGCACAGGATAGAGGGGGAACAATAAGGTAGGAAAAAGTTCTTAAAATTCCTATAAAGAAATACTTTCAACTTGGCATGAAAAGCCACTTGAAATAAAGACACCGCCCGCCCCCCACAGGGCCTGCAGCCCCCACCCTGCGCCCACTTAGGTGTGTCCGTGTGGCAACTGGGGCTTCCTTTGGGAGCACGAGAATGGGGAGGGCTGCGCTCACTCTTGGGTTTGTCTCCCATTTACAAACCTGGATGGTCTTCCCACTCTTGGCTCTGATGACATCCCCAGGCTTGTTGGCCTTACCGCTGGGCATATTTTCACAAAGCGGGGCCAACCCTGTTGGAAAAAAGTAAATGAAAAGGAAGCAACATGGAATGTGTGGGTCCAAATACACTACCCACAGCAGGGATGCCACTGGCGGGCCATCAGAAGCATGCCAGACACAGACATCACCTTAACCAAGTGATCAAATTTAGCAGCACCCATGACCCAGCTGACATTGTATGCATCTGCAGCAGAAGTACCCATCGCCTAATCTGATCTGTCATGAAGAAACAACCAAACTAAAGCAAATCCTGGAACACCGCGAGACAAACCTGGACCTTCATAACCACCAATGTCAGGGAAGGGAAAATAGGGTTCTAGATTTAAGAAAACTAGAGACGTGGAAACCATATGCAATGTGTGTTCCTTCACTGGCTCCTGTATTTTAAAAAAATAAATAGAAATAAATAGGTGTGTGTACACACACACACACAAACAAACATTGTTTAGACAACTGGGAAGTTTGAATTAGGTTACTGTATCAACCCTTGGAAATGGTAATTACACAGACTGCCCTTGTTCTTAAGAGATACATGCCAAAGTGTTCAGGGATGACATGTCATGATGTGTGCTACTTACAATTTAGCAAAAAAAAAACAAACAAAAAAAAACTATGATATCAAATGGGGTGGGGAGATATCAGGCAGACCTGGATTCCCATTGCGCCGTCCTGTGCTACGGACGCAACACACTGCACAAGTCAGTTAATGGAAGTCTCCACTCCTCCCCAACCCTTTCTCGGAACCATGGCCAAATCCCAGAACTGTGTCTGCATCCTGTACTACACAAAGAACTGCCATGTACAGGGTACTTTTTCAGTTTCTAGCATTTTCTGTGCATCATGGCATTTAATCAGCCACACCCCTGTGTGCTAATCACTAAATGATCCAGCAACATCCTTCCACCCTGATGAATGGGCATCTTCCCCTGGAAGAAATCACAACTCAACTTCATGTGCTCCTGGCTACTACCCACTTTTTGCAAAAGTAAAACAAATCAGTCCTAGTTAACAGCCCACGATTGCAAAATGCATTTAACTCAATCAGTTCAGACCAACAGCTTCCCAGCTAAACAGCTTCTGCTTGATGCAGAGCTATTTCAAAATCATGCTCAATGTGCTCAGAGCAAAGGAAACCCTATATGTTATCTCAGTTCCACCCTTGGCCCGGGCCCCAGGAGCTCCCCATGACACAGCCCTGGCCCACTCACCGATGATGTTGAGGGGCAGACCGAGCTTGGCGGCAGACACGATGGCTGAGCATATGGTGGCTGCCCCTCCCATGTCAGCCCGCATGAGGTCCATATTTGCAGACGGCTTGATGGAGATGCCACCACTACAGGGAAAAGGACAATGTGCAATATTAACACAAAGAAGAGGGCCGCTGTCTTAAAAAAGAATACACAAGCTGAGGGTTACCTACCACATAAAAGTACCATGCACCTGACAAAGAAAAAATCTGATTTCTAAATTGAAAATCCAGATGATTTCAACATTTTAAAAGATGATATTGCACTCTTTATAATAATATAGACAGGGGTCTTAGCTCATTCTGTTTGTTTGAAGGAAATGTAAGCAGCACCTCTGGAAACACTACTGTGTCGTGCAGTCAGCGCTGCTCAAGTTCCATTTCTCTCTCGGCTCATTAGCTCCTGACCCCACAGAGATTTGTTTCTTGGGCAAATTTTATGACTTAATCAACTTACTGAACCTGAAGGCCACAGATCATTAAGGAAAACCGACAAGATCGCAGAAGACTGGGAGGGTCTTAGCCCACAGGGCGGGGCACACAATACCCTCCTACACCCCCAAGTGCGCTAGAGCCTGCTGGTGGCAAAATATAACCAGACGAGGCACAGGCATGTGAAGGTGCTCACCCAAAGCCTCGGAGACAGCGCTCAAACACGACAGCTGACAAGGGTTTCCATTAGCAAGAAACCAAAACTACTCCCCCAAACTGGCTTCTGTAACTGACTAGTGCCTTTCTGCTTCCAGATGTAAGAATCCAGACAGCACGTGGTTTGCACTCTGGGTATGGAGTTGCGGCTTCTGGGATCTGCTGCCAACTTGCCCTGGTGACTCTGGGAGATTTACCCCCCCGCACTGAGGTCTCCTTCCTGACCAATCAGGTCCTAATTCTCACTCACCTCCGAAGCACCTGGTTGTTAGATGGCTGTCACTTATACCTAGAATTAAAAATTACCCACTGACTCAGCATAAGGAAGGACACACTCTTGGTCCATGAAGCCCAGGAGCAACCCCATGGGGGCAAAGGGAATACGCTGGTTCACCAGGCTGTCCTGCCTACTCACACTCCTGTCTCAAGGCCACTTCCGTTCCGGGAGTTCCACTCTCTGTATGTAGGACTCCCGTTCTTAAGTAACGAGTCACCTTCTAGGTCTCTCTCGAATGCACCCATATCTTTTCTATGGCATCCATCCTAGTTGAGGCCGCCACCCCCTGTCATTCAGGTGTTCGCCATGGCCGTACATATTCAGGTCTCCCTCGATCTGTCTTACCTCCTCATTTCATTAATCACACAACCACCAAATTTTTACCAAAAAAAAGTCTATCTTAGTCAAAATCCCAGTGGAAGTGTATAAAAACGGCAAGCAGGGTCTAAAATTGATATGCATGCAAAGGACACAACCAAAGTAATTTTAAAAAAGAAGGGCAAAGCTGGAGGGCTCAATTACTAGACTTCAGGACAAAGCAGTAGTCTTCACGATACTTGGTCACAAGGTCCTGGTGGAAGGCCACAGAGTCCAGAGATAGGTCAATAATTACATGGTCAACAGATTCAACAATGGTGCTAAGGTAGTTCAGTGGGGAAAGGATAGTCTTTTCAACAAATGGTGTTAAAAAAATGGTACCTATATAGAAAAGAAAAAAAACAGGAAAAGGAACCTTGATGTATCCACACCATACATAAAAATTCAAAATGGATCATTGCCTAAAAGCCAAAACCATTAAGACTTACAGGGGAAAAAAAACCAAACCCAGACTTTGGCATAGGCAATAATTTCTTAAAGAGGGCAACAGAGGCATGAGCTAAAAATGGATAAATTATACTTCCTCAAAATTAAAAACTGCTCTTTGAAAAACTCCACTTAAAAAAATGAAAAAGCATGCCTCAGAGCGGGAAAACTGTATTTTTGAGGTATGCATCTGATAAAGGACTTGTATCTAGAATGCAATTATAAAAACAACTCAGTAAGACAAACATTTCTAAAAAGAGCAAAAGATTTAAACAGACATTTCACTAAGATAGGCCAATGGTCATTAACAAAAAAAAGAAGATATGCCAATGGCCAATATGCACCTTTCTTACTTACAGAAGGTCCACAGCGCCTACTTCCTAGGGGTAAGATCAGGGCTAATATATGTAAAACGCCTAATAGAGTCTTTGATACACAGTAAACAGTTTATAAATGGCAGCTTAACAATTTAAAGCTAAAGTATAAGAAGATATGGCCCAACACCATGCTTCTGAAGCAAACCATACACCCAATAACACAAGTGCACACAAAGCGCTCGCCAAACTACAAACCACAGATGCGGTGAAGGCCTACCTATCAAAGGTAATTCCCTTCCCGACAAACACCAGGGGAGCGTCACTTTCATTGGGGCTGCCTTTGTAGTGAATTTCCAGGAAGACTGGAGGCTCATCGGATCCTTTGGCCACACTTAGAAATGATCCCATGTCCTGTTCCTCAATCCAAGACTTGGGTCTACAGGGCAGAAAGGGAAAAAAGTAAATACACTTGGCCTGTTTCAAAGTAACCTAGAAAAAGCTCATCCATGTATAAAAAGGTGTAACATATAAACTTTTAAAATATACACTAGTCAACACTTCAATTAATGCATCCTGTTTGCTCTCATTTTTGGGCCAGCCACTTGTTTCTGAGTCTGTTTCCTCATCTATAAAATTAGGTCAATCACACTGCCATCAAAGACTGTCTACAGAATTACTAAGAGTATTCATGCCTGGAACATAGTATGATGTCAAGTAATAATGCATAGTCAACAAACAATTGTTACTTCATTATTTTTCCCCCAACCTGCTCATATTTTTTTGAAGTTTTAGTACAAAGATAAGGCTCTGAGACCACCAAGAGTGCATAAAGACAGTGAAGGGGTCTATTGCTTTACTTTCTGGTATTTCTAAAAATAACAAAAACAGTCAATCAACAAACAAACAAACAATAAACAATGCCACAATTCCTAGGTGAACAAAAATATCCCATTTCCTTGGTTTTTTTAGAATTGCTGGAGTCCAATATTTTCCATATTGTCATACTATTTCTCATGGCTGCAACCTCAATTTGAGATGTTTATTACTTAATAAACACAGGACCATGAAGGGTAATATAATGAGAATAGCCCTGTGTGCCAACCAGACAATGAAGGCCATATCGTTATTCCCTGGGGCTCGGGGTACAAAAGGGCTTAGTATTGCCTCCCAGCCACTGTAACTAGGCCAAGAGAAACCCTACACTCGACAGCCCGCCCAGCAACAACCATATCCAAGGGATGCTTCTCTTGGCTTGCCTATTCATCTGTTGAAACCATTAAACTAAAATTGTGTTATGGAGAGATGGCCACCAAACTTCAGAGGGCGAAGAATATAAAAATGGAAGGTATGACAATAAAAAAAAAAAAAACACTTCAGAAGCAGCAAGGCTGCATCATGTGTTTACTTTAAATCATAAACCCAGTCCTCGCTGTTTTATCCAAGCCCTGCCCTTCAGGACGCACTGTGCTGCTTTGATCTGTACACACTTACACATGACCAGGGCAAGCACAGCTGTCTCAGTTCAATGGGTAACACTATGCCCACGTGCCCATCCCTGGTTCTGGCTGAGTTCCCTTTGCTCTGTCACAAGCCTTGAGAGTCCCAAAGGGTCTCTGCATGTGCTCCCCACCTAAAACACCACACCCACCCCGTTACCTTCTAAGCAAAGCTCCAGATTCTGCGTAGGCACAACCTTTGTTGGGAAGCCTTTTCGGCTCTCCCACAATCCTCCTCACCTCTCTGTTCCTGCAGTCCCTGCCTGCCCCCTTTACCTGCCCAGTCCTTCCCACCCGGTCCTCCCTGCTTTGAGAACAAGGATCACCATCATTCATCCCTGGGTGCCAAATCCCCAGGCGTGCAGGAGATGCCACCACGATGTGTCACGGCTCAGCCACCATTTCCTGATACAAATTAGCTCTGTTGTCCCCTCAAAGAGAACAAGTGAGAATCTTTGCCACGATGCCTTTCCAGAGACGAAACACTGCTATGCTTTAAATATATGCTAACCACCTACAACTTTTACCAAGCTCTAAGTACTGCGTTTTCTACAGATTTCACTTTTTGTTTACAGTCTTTCTGGACCATAGGGGTTTTCCTGAAAAAAAAAAAAATGTGAACTCTAATCACAATTAAGTACTGAAGAACTCTCAAGTTCTTTTGAGAAACAACTTTGATAGTGAAGAATTCTTTATGCAAAGCAAATACCTCTCAATTTATTTTCATTGTAAATCCCCAAATGTTTAGACCTGGTTTGATTAAAGGGTCATGGGTAGGTTATGGGTACCAAGAGGGTACTGGGACCCGGAGGAGCAGCCTTTTAAGTCCAACAGCCTAGCTGCTGATGAGCACTCAGGGCAGCCTGGGAACATCAGCCCTGGTATCTGTCTAGCTCAGAGAATCTACAAGGCCAAGTGAGGTACTCTGCATTTTTGACTTGTGTCGAAAAGAGAATAGGAGAAGTCACCAAAACAAAACAAAAAATTGGAAGTTCTTCAGAAAGTTAAGTAGAGTTACCATTTGATCCAACAATTCATCTCCTAGGCACATACCCATGAGACAGGAAAATATTTGGCCACATCAAAACTTGTAACTCACACTCACAGCAGCATTATTTGCAGTATCCAAAAGGTGGAAATAACCCAAATGTCCAGGAACTGACTGATGGCTGGGGGTGGGAAATGAGGAGTGACTGTCAATGGGCACCAGATTTCTTTTTTTTTTTTAATTGTTATTGTTCAATTACAGTTGTCCTCTGGGTACAGGATTTCTTTTTGGGGTAATGAAAATGTTCTACAATTGATTGTGGGAATGGTAGCACATCTTTGAATAGAAATCATTGAACTGTACAATTTACATGGGTAAACATGGGTGAATAACATCTCAATAAAGCTATTCTCTCTCTCTCTCTCACACACACACACACACACACACACACGCACACACAGAGAATGCAGCCTGAAGTCATGACACTCTTTCAAAGGTAAGGAAAGCCATAATAGGAAGAACCTCAAAAAGCCCTCATCCCACTTGTCTGTGGCCACTGTGAGTCCCCTCACCTCTCTGGTCTCAAGTTACAAGTCACTCCTCTGAATAGTTGAGGGAGCTGGATTTCAGGACCCGCCAGGCTCCTTCTGGCTGTTATGTCCCAGGAGTCTATGACATAAACCTGAATTACCTGATGTAGACTTCTGTCTTACTACTAGCGCTTTTGAGGTTCTTCTCAATAGCTTCAGCAAATTTGGTTGGCGTCATCTCATTGGCAGGCGTCTCCATCAGCTGGCGTGCCAAGTTCTGCCCAGAAGCAAAGAGGACCCCTTTCTGCCAGGCTTCCTGGTCACCGCTGGCAGAAGGAAGCACAGGGTCATGGTCAGACAACCGTTCAAGACACTGACCGTGGCTCGGCTTGTAAAAGCAAAGAGGAAGACTACCGAGATGGCGGATACAAGGGGCCTGGGTTTGCTGTCTGGGATCTGACCCAGAGTGGCAGATGGTCAGGTGCAGCATGGAGCCCACTGTGTGAGCTGGGGGACCCGGGCGAACCTGTCACCTCACAATCCTCATCTGTATAAGAAAGGGGTTGGAACGATGGGTCTTGGAGGCCCCACATCTACCATACACGTTGATGACAGGCTTCCGTAGAAAGGCCCACTTTGCCCTCATCTGCATCGGGAATGACGTAGCCCCCGGTGCTAACTGCAGGGGGCACTGCTTAGTGCTGACAAGGAACGGAAGGCCTGTCCACCTAACTTTTGCCTGGGACAGGGTTCTGAACACCAACCCACCAGAGGGCAAGAATCAGCTTTAACAGAGAAAAGCTATGGGCATGAGTTTCCACCCTAGCTCTTCTTGTGCACAGCAGGAGTCAACGTGAGCGGCACGATGCAAGAGTCATCGTCTGGTGGGACGGGAATTGTCTGGGTTGAAACCCGCTGGGACCCAGCATCTTGTTCACCCCTTCTTCAGGGAGCCAACTTGGTGTGGCCGCCTAGTAACCAGCAAGCCTGAAGGGGCCAAGGGAGCCATGGGGGGATGTACACATGATGAACGTCAGGAGCAGATCGTGCGGACAGGTACCACACTCTGAAAATGGCTAAGGCAACGGGGGACGTCGCAGACAGACCTTGCGGCAGCACCTGATACTCAAAGGCAGGCAGCTGCTACCTAAGGGGCCCCGCTGTCAGAACACCTGGGGATGCAGCCCTGAGCTTGGTTTTGTTCCCTCACCTTCCATGCAGCTTTGCCGCCACGACCACCTTCTTCTTCTGCTTTAGGCAACTGTACTCGTAGAGACCAAGCACGGCCCCTTCCGCAGCTGCCTGGGCATCTCCACAGGGATCCACCTCCACAGAAGAGAGCTCCAGGTCTTGAACCTGCCTGCACCCCGCTTTGAAAGGACGGAGGAACCAGAAAAACTGGAGTCAGTTGGAGACAACTAGAACAGCAGAAGGCTGAGCCATGATGTGCTGTGTCGGGAAAACAGCAGGAATGGGGTTTGAATCCCAGCTCTGCCACTTGACCTTCCTGAGCCCCCACTTCCTCTTAGGTGAAATAAGGGTGTGCACACACCTATGAGGCTGCAGGAAGACAGACTGAAGGATAAAACGGCTGGTATGGGTCCTCACAGAGTGACCATGCTTACTAACTAGTATTACTTCTGAAACACTAGGATTTCCTGATGAAGTGGCCCAGTTACCAGGAACTTGCCAGATTAAAAATGACAGAATGATGATATTGAAATTATAAGCAATGAACTGAGCAAAGTCCATTATTAACACAGCATTTATTAAGATCAGGTCAGCAGAAATTTCCACATAAAAGTTGTGAAATAGTCACTCACCATGAACTTTGACAGTAAATTTAACCAGCATATATGATCCACACAGGGCCAAAGGCCCCTCGGGCTAACTCTCCCTGCCTTTGCATCCCTGACCAGTCTCGGTGGCGAAGGCCTCATCCTGTGCTGAACTCTGAGGGGACTCAATGGTGTCTACCTCACCTTTTAAACCAGACACATGGCAAGCTGGGACCTTTGGTAACAGGTGATACACAAGCACCTCACTCTTTCCACTCATTTTCTCTGATTTGTAAATATGACTCCATATGGCTTAAAAGGTGGGCAACACCAGGGCTGCATTACAAAAGCGAAAAAAATCCACACACAGAACTTTCTAGTAAAATAGAGCCTCTAGAGGCAACACTGTGAGAGTGAACAAATGGTTGTGAAACCTCCAAACACGAGCTAAAGAAATATAAAAATAAAACTCCTTAAGCTAACCATCTATATCTAATATAAGGCCAAGCATATTGGGTAAGGGAAATTGAGTATTCAGATGAGTTAATTCCCTGTGAATGTGGCAGGGGTGGGGATGGGCAAAAAACCAAAAGAAGGGAGGCAGAGTAACCTTAAAGAATAGATCTTAAGGAATCTCTATCAATATTTAACCTCAAAAGTAAACTAACCCTCCTTGGCCAATGTGGCTGTTGGTTGGAGGGTTGTCCCATACACCAAAAGGCCACGAGTTTGATTCCTGGTCGGGGCACATACTTAAGTTGTGGGTTCCATCCCCAGTTGGGGTGCATATTGGAGGCAACTGATCAATGTTTCTCTCTCACGTAGACGTTCTCTCCCCCTCACTCTCTCCCTTCTCCTCTCTCTAAAATCAATAAGCATGTCCTCAGGTGAGGGTAAAAAAAAGTAAACTAACCTGCAATGGCTGTTCTGATGTTTTCTTTGCCTTCATGCCAGTTTTCCTGGTCATCCACGCCAGCCCCCTTTTTGCCAAGGCCAACCACCACCACGCTGGGGAAGTCCTGTTCCAGAAACACACAGGATCAGCTACTTTATAGCTTTAAAGCATTCATTTCTAACAGAAGATGGTATCTGAGCTCAACTGCCTTAACCTCAGCACAAGGCAAAATCAGTGTCAAATCTGATTGGGTTTTTTGAGCCCTGCATTTTGCTAAAATTTTATAACATGCGTGTTTAAAAGGTAGAGAGCAAGGAGAACCCTGCAAATAATTTACTACGTGAAAGTGCTCCAACCCTGGCAACCGAACAAAGCAAGCCTGCAGTTCATGTGCCACAAGAGAGGCAGTGCTTTCTGGTAGTAACTCACCTCTTGACATTCTTAGATAATGCTTATGGCCTAATACTAGGACAAAAGTACACATACAACACGATCTAAGTTTTCCTGCAGGACCCTGCAGTCACAGTCCTTGGCACACAGTAGGTGCTCGCTAAGGGTTTGCCGCATCTGATCTTCATCTCATACCTCATGCAGACCATAAAAAGTTCGGGTTTTGCCTGCCTTCAGTGGTGGTCCAGATCTGAAAACAAGAGGAAGTAGCTGTTTAAATTATTCCCTTGCTCTGTTCCTTTGAGAAGTGACATGTACATACCTTTAGCATTATTAAAATACTCCTCTGCTGCTGTGAATTCGCTGCACTTATGTTTTTATCAATATAGGAAATGTTTCTCAGGCCAGATTTCTCAGATGCCACGTTTCTAATTCTAGCTCAAAGACTATTTAGCATACGTCCAGATTAGATTGAATGCAACCTTATTTGAAAACCAACGTGGAGAGCGATGCCCTGGATGGATGGTGCATGGCCGCCGAGGGGAGCTGGGCACCGATGAAGGCTGACTGAGATCTTCATTCTTTTGAACATAAGCTGTCAGACACCAGCCTAAGGGCTCCCCCGACGGCCATGTGTTCGGCATGGACGCCTTTTAAGAGGGCTTATCTGCAAATGGGATACTGGGCAATTTCCAATCAAACCAAGCGGCCAGGCAGGGCTATATCCAAGGACTGGGTGCTTGGTTATCAGGCAGGAAGTCCAGATCGTTCTGTACTCTAACAGATTAGCTTTTGAGTTAACAAATTGAGCAAGGCACAGGCGAAGGCTGTCCACTGTGGAATGACTGCTAATTAAGAGGGAATGCCAATTCTATTATCTACTGATTAGACAGTCACTATCATTAGACTACATGTATTAGATCCAAAAAATTATCTATAATCTAAATAAGATGTAGCTGCAGAGGCTTATGGTGACACTTTTTGTTCCCCAAACGTGGCCTGATTTCCCAGAACTGCAGACCCAGGCACAGGGAAACCCAAAAAACCAAAGTGAATTTCAGAGACATGAACTTTCACTTTCAAGAATGTTTCCGAGAATTTAGGTCTACTAACAATAAAATATACAAAAAAATAGTTTTGTTTTCAAGGCATTTAAAAACTGGAACCCACAGAGGAATACTTACATGTTCAAAACTTCTCTCAGCTTTCCAGACACCAATTTATCAAAATTCTCTCCTGCACTTGTAAACCGGGGCGCGTCATTTTCTTTTTCTCTGGCATAGATGCCTAAAACAAGGCCCTGAAAACAAGCCAAAAATATATATATATAATCTGGGTCCTCACATTCCAGGAGCAGATAACTCCACCCAAACCATCCGGGGCAGAAGAACAAAGCCAAAAAAACAGGTGCTGGTGCTGGGTCAGCTACACTCACATCCTGCCTAATGTTTCAAATTCCTGCCAAGGCAAGGCTATGATCACTGCCAGTCCTGGGTCTTCACGGTTCCTTCCCAAGAAAGCAGTCTCACAACATAACACTTGCAAATAAGAGTGGAAAGCTGTTTTGTGTAAGAAAACAATCTCGTTTGTAACCAGGTCAGAAGGGGTTCAGAACATGCCACCTAAAAATAGGCTGAATCTGTCGTATTGATTACTTTGAACTGCAGGTGCCTGAGAAACAGCAGGCTTCGGAAGGGCTCTCCGACCTCCTGCCTTCCACCTAAAAGCAGGTCATAAAATTTCCCATGAGAAACATGCCATCGCGGTACCAGGAAGGGCACATTCTTATCACCAGAGGTTGGGAGGCAACACCAAAATGGACCTGGACAAACACACCTAGTACAATATCTCTTATCTTCCATTGGTTTCCCCCCACCTATTTCCTAGTCACTGTCACAGTTTACTGCCTCTAGCCCAAGCCCGTGTGTCTGGTCACCTCCCCACCATTTTCCATTCTCTGTTTAAAACAGCTTCTAAGTTTGGGGACCTCACGGCCTTTGGGTCTTTGTCTTCCTTTTGAAGACTCCCACATCCACTAAAGTATCAAATAAAGCTCGTACATACGTTCCTCCTGTTAATCTTATGTCTGCTTAATTCCGGGCACAGAACCTAGGGAAGCAGAAGGAAGTTCTCCCTCCCCTACAACCTTCAAATGCAAATCTCAGGCACTCTGGGCTGCTACCCCAGGGGGGCCAAGGCGGCACCTGCCAAGGCTGGGAACCGCGGGGCAGCTCGCAGGCTGAGAAAGAGAAGATGCAGCCTTTCCAACAGGGGCGGGGCGGAGCATTCGGGCCGAAAACTCCGCGTCGGGCCCCCTCGGGCCTCCAATGACTGAAATAAGGAAGAAAACCTAGAAATCACTATTTGCCTTTGCCCAGCAATTTGTGTTTTTTTTTTTAATTAATTTATTTACTTTTTAAATACATTTGTCTCTGCCTTCCCCCCACCTCTTTCCCTTGCCCCCTCCCACTAAATCACTATTTGCCTTTGCCCAGCAATTTGTGACTTTAAAAATGTCTTCTGCCTTATGGTAACTGTGAGATGGAAAGGACTGTAGTCTCCTCACCTGACCGATAAGGAAACTGAAACCTGACACAGAGACACACTGGCCTGGGACTGAGCTGCACGAGAGCCCTGAGGCCTCCCCACAGCCCTGCGGCCTCGTCCCGGAAGCCCACTGTCCTTAGGCCAGATTGTGTCTCTTCTGTCCCTTCCGTCAGAGACAATGGGCTTCCGCGGCGGGGGCAGCCTTTCCAGGTTCTAACTTTCCCACGGTCGCTCATTTCCTGGATTCCATGAAACCAAGTGAAGAAGAGAGGACCCATATGTTACCTGGGCGCGGTGTCACACAGAAAGCTCTCGGGCAGGCGTCGGACACAGCCGGTGGCCTGAGCTCAGGCCCTGCCTAGAACATTCCTCGCCAGGGACCGCCATTTCTTTCTGGTCCTCAAGCCTGAGTCTCAATCCTGTGCACCTTGCGCCACACATTCCCCTTTCCAGATCCTCCCCATCCCAACAGCGATCTTCCTAATTATTTATTTATTTATTTTATTATTTTTCTTGCAGTTCAACTAGGTGAAGAAGGCTTTTCTTCCGGAAGATCCCCTCCTCTTAATTTCACGGAGAGAGGGGGCTCTTTGCAAAGCCTGTTCCCTAGAGAGGTACCGTTTTCCTGGCCTTCCCCTTCAGGGCGGAGGGCCTCGAGGTGTGGAGCCCTAGTGGCCGGCTCTGGGACCTGAGATGACATCCACCTCTGCAAACGCGGGCTCCCTCTCGGCTAAGGTGGGCAGGATACTGGCACCGTCCTTTGCGGGGTTACTGCGAGCACTAAAAAAATAAGGGCATGGCACACAGCGGCAGCCCAGAAAACAGCAGCTCTGGCTACGCTCTCTCGCCCAGAGTTCGGATCCTAGGGCTCTTCCAGGCAAGGAGAGGGAGGAGGGTGCACCCCAGAAACGCTGGAGAAGGCTCCGGGTACTCGGCGGCCCCGAAGCCACGGCTGATGCCCAGGATGAGCTTCGCAAAAGGAGAGAACTTTCCTTCTGAGCCCTTTTTTTTTCAACTTGGGGCACAAGCCGGAGTCACCGAGGCCTCGACCCGTCCCGCCGCCTCGGCTGCCCGCGAACAGGGCTGCGGGGGCGGCCCCGGATCCTGCCATCGTCTCTTACCTTCGTCATGTCTGCGGCAGCAAAACCTCGACTCCAGAAGCGCTTCGCCCCGAGACGTCGGACAGCGACTCGTCCCGCTGCCGGAAGAGGCAGCAAGAACATTTTGTCGGCTCGGCCCCTAGCACCGCCCTCAGCGAGCACGTGGCGCCGGGAGGATGCGCTCGCATCGCCGGGCTGGGCTTCCGCGGCCGACCGGCGCGCGCATAGTGGGCGGGGCAGGAGCCGGGGAGCCTCTGCGGGGCGGGCTTCAGAGGCGTGGCGGGAGGGCGCCTAGGGGCGGGGACTATCGGGAGATGCAGGCGCCCGCGGGAGCCCCTAGTGCCTTTGGGGCGGAGCGGATGCCCTTGGGGCGGGGCGGAGGCGGGGCTCCAAGAACACCCGGAACTAGGCAGGTGCACGTGGCCTCACTGCCGAGGACTAACGTAGGAGGGAAGCTCCTGAGTATTTTAAAAAATTCCTGCGCTTTTTCTCCAATTCTTTTGAATTTGCATCTGATCCAAGGGTGTAACATTGTAGGAAAGTTAACCCAAAGACTGTTTTTGAAGATAGGAGCTTTGTAAATAGTGCTTAATGTTTTAATATATTTTTCTTTTTAAAAGGGGGTTTGAAATAGTTATGAAAAAGTACGTGGTAAAAAAAGAAAAAGAACAATTACACGGTTGAATGCTACCCAGAGAACATGCGGAAGCTTAAGGAGGGATACACAAAAGCCGTGCTAGGTGTTAGCCTGACCTTAGTTTTGGCTCTATCTTTGATTTTAGCTTAGGGCGTCGAGGTGGGCGGGACACAGAGCCTAAGTGCGCACCATCTCCACTTTGGTCCCAGTCACAGAAAGCAGAGACTGTCTGTTTCATTCTCTGAGGCCTGAAGTGTAGCAGTGATTTGACTGTCTCTTGAAGGCTGGGAGAGTTGGGAATGACAGGTCCTCTTTGGCTTGCACCTCCTTCAGACAGTTCACGCAAAGTTGTATCATAAGCTCAATAAACTCTCCAAAATTCATTTATATTCACTTCAACAAGAGAAATCTTTGTACTCACTTTATAGCTCCTTTCTTGTTTCAACAAGGTCAAGCTGCAGTTTCCGCCACCCAAAATTAAGTGCTAAAACCTGCCCCCTAAGCTTGTGTGTGAAGCGAGGGGATGCTCTGCTGGCTTCAGAGGCAGCCGGGACGCAGAGCTGTCGCCGCTGTTTCCGTGCACCCGAGTCGGTTTCCTTCATGTCGTCTGCTGCTCCTACAAGGAATAACGCTCTTCCTGGCATACCCTCATTTATTCCTTCAGTTCAAGGACCACAGCTTTTACATCTTCCTATGGGAGAAATAAATTTCACAGCCCCCCAAAACTTTTGCCCTTACTCAACGGTATTATTGACCACTTTAGGATGTAAGATTTCGTCACCCATCAAACTGGAAATTCAGAGTGTTTCCTATATTTTTCTGTTAAAAACTGTAAAATACAACAGAATTTGTGTCCCTGGCCTCAAAGACTATGATCTAGTAGAGACAAGATATGTGGTAACTATAAAGAGATAAAAATCAACAATGTTCATCCAGTTATATGTGCACATGCTTCAGTTCCTCCTGCCCCCTTCTCTGCTTGACGGAGACTTTGGTCTGATGCCATCTCCTCCAGGAAACCGTCACTGACATTGCACATCTGGGTAACATGCCCTCCCTTCGCAGCCTGCCTCAAAGCGCTAGTCACCTGTGTGCTCAGTGTTTGTTGCCCTGAGGCATCTTGGGAGCCATGACTTTCATCTCTGAGGGTCTAGTGCCTAAATCTAGAGCCTAAACTGGGGCTGACACATACACAAGTTGTTCATAAAATGTGTGAATGAATGCGTGATCAAGGTCTAATGGGCGTAACATTGATAACTAAAGAACAGCATAGGTCCCACTTGTGTCCTTCAGATAATAAATGCAAAAGTTTAAAAAGCGTGGAGTGAGCCAGCAAAATGAGAAGGGCGCAGGTTATTGAGGACATCAGGACGTGGAGGCGTGTGTGGGAGGGCGTTGGCTTGGCTTGGGGAGTAGCAATCAGGAATAAATGGTGGTTATAAAAGACAGTGATGCTGGATTAAAGAGGATTTTGAAAGGCTGGAAGAGTTTATTATTGACATGGGAGCCTACATGGACTCAATAATGCCCTTTGTAGAAGCTGGGAGCGGGTAAAGTCTCTATTTTAACATGATTGATAGAGATTGGAGTCAAAGGTGGAGTAAGACTGGCGAATATAAGAGAAAGCTGTGTTTCAGTGGAAACCTATGCATTGTCCAGAGAGATTGTGAGGAGACTTTTCTGGGTTACCTGATTCAGATTCCAGGGGAAATCTTTTACAACTCTTTAAATTGTTACTCAGTGCAATGCAAGCCTTATCTGTAGATATGCAAATTATGTCCTGTCCTGTAGAAGTTCAACCTACAGCTCTCTGCTGTGGAAAAGCCAGTTAGTCTCCATATGCACATTCCTTTCAGTATGCCTGACCTATATAACCATATGGGTTCTTGGAATTCTCTTTTGAACCAGTTATAACAACTGTCTGTTTCAGGAGTTAAAGAAACTCTCTAACATGTATTCAGTTTTACATCTGCAGGGGAGTCATGCTTTTAAGTTTTGGGGAAAATTCTCCTTTGGCAGCAGGGAAGCTGGCTGGTGGCATGCGTTTCTGATAGAACTTGCTAGATGACTCTGTTTGGGAAACGAAAAGCAGAATCAGTGAGATGCAATTTGTGAATGTGGAAGAAAACACATCAATACCTTGTTTAGGGCCTTAACACTCCCTTCCTCCTTAGGGAGGGAGAAGCTGTGAAGGTGATGGGTGATGGGGAGTTTAACTAGAAATGTTGACTCTGATGTCACAATGGACCATTGAAGGGAAGCCGATGGAAAAAACGTTCCGTGGGAGCTTCAGGTGATGATGCAGATGCAGACTTTACAGGGTGAGTTCAATGGCCAGGAGTCTGAAGTTTCCCTAAAGGAGCCATCACAGAGCAAGAGGTGCAAAGGGAAAAGACAGAGCCTGTGGAAGACACCCTCTGTCAGGAGATGGAAGCACCTGAGAAAGAGGCAAAATAGGGGGCAGTCGGAGAGGCAAGAAGAGACCTAATTGCAGGAGCATTAATGAGTAACAGTAACATTGAGCACTTCCTCGGTCACCAGCATTTCCTAAAAGGTCTCTAAGGGATATCAAAATAAACCAGTTTCATAAGCTGAAAATTGTAGTGCATTAATTTAGTCATCAAATATTATGAAGTGCCTATTACACTATATGCACTGTTCTAGATTCTGCGGACACACGAGGGAACAAAATTTCTTCCCTCATATCACTTATATTTGAAGGAGGATAGGGCGAGAGACAGTGAAGTAAGTAAATAAAATAGTATGTTGATGGTGATAAATGCTATGAAGAAAAATAAGTAGGAAAGAGGGACAGGGCTTGAGTGGAAACAAAAGTGACTTAAATTGAATATCAGGTAAGGCCCCACTGAAAGATAACATTTGAGCAAAACCCTGAAGAAAGCTAATGGGTGAGTTTGACAGAAACCCGGGAGCATCATTTCTGGCAGAGCAAACAGCAAGTGCAAAGGCCCTGTGGCAGGGGCCTTCCTGGCATTTCAAAGACACAATGAGGAGGCCAGTGGGGAAGGAGCAGAGAATTGTGGGACAGGAGTTCCAGGAGATAAGTAGTTGGAAGTGGAGGGACCAGATCACTTGGCAGACATTGTAAATCTGAAAAGTGAGTGAGTGGGAAGACCTTGGTGAGGATAGAAAAGATCTGAAGTTGCTCTTGCCAAGGTGAGTAACCTGCCTTGATGAGAGGGTGTGTCCTAGGAACAGAGAGAAAGGAGAGAATAAGGTCAGAGGCAGGTGACTTTATAGGTTTGGGAGCAGGAACACAGTGGCTTCTCTCCTCCCCATTAAACAGAGAATGGAGGCCATGCTGAGAGAAGTGCTCTGAGGTTAAAGGGCCTGGTGGTCAGACAAGGCTGGGAAATGCTGCTGCTGCTTCTTTTTTAAGTTTTATTTATTGATTTGAGAGAGAGAGAAAGAAAGAGAGAGAGAAACATTGATTTGCTGTTCCACTTATTTATGCATTGATTGGCTGATTCTTGTATGTGCCTGGGCAGGGACTGAACCCACCACCTGGACGTATTTGGACAACGCTCCTACCAACTGAGATACCGAGCCGGGGCCAGGAAATGCTTCTTCTTAATGCAGCGCCCCAGGTATTTGCCCTGAACAAATACATTTATGTGGTGAAGGGTTAATAGTTTTCCTCTCCACATTTGTTTCTAAACCCTCCCTTACCCCCGATCCCCAGAGAACAATTTTCTCTTCACACAGATTTGGAAAGCTCTGGAATAGAACATAGCTGCAATAAAGCACTCACAGAATTTCACCATTGGAGTGTACATCTCCATTTAAATATATGTGGGATTAGAGCATCATGATCAGATTTTTAGTACGATCTCCTAATACTGAAAAAGTATTCCAATATAATTTATTTTAAGCCCTGGTTTTGCCAAGCTGATATTGGAAAATGAGTTATCTGAACATTTGAGTTATTATAGAGGTGGTACTGCACAGATGTGGACAAATAGTAGTCTTTTTTAATAAATAAAGCCTTTTGGTCTTAATAAATGAAGCTGGATAAATTGGATATTCACAAGGGAAGAAATGAGGTTTGACCCTTACCTCACATGAGACACAAACATCAGTTTCAAGTCAGTATGAAGGTTAAAATAAACTTTGAGGAGATCACATAGGAGACAACTTTGGTGAACCTAAGGTAGGCCAAGATGTCTTAAGCAGAGTACCAAAAAAACACGCCAATAAAGAAAAAGATTAGTAAATATAATTACATTACAATTAAGAACCGTTCAAGAGAAAGACATTAAAAGAGTGCAAAGGCTAACCAGACCATGGGAAAAAATATTTGGTATCCATGGAATGAGCAAAGGATTTGTGTTCACAATAAATGAAGAAATACCACAAATTAGCTGCCAACAGACACTATAGTAGGAAACTGGGATGGAGAGCCAGACTGCTCACCTCAAAGCGACCTCACGGTGTGACTTTGGGCACATCGTTCAATGCTTCTCTGCCTTCATCTTCTCATTGTGAAAGGAGAATAATAGTAGGCCCACCTCTAAGGGCTGTTGTGAGCATTAAATTAC